GCCCCCACCCCCACCCCATCAAGCAAATCAACCAGAAAATCAGGCAATTAATCATTAAATTTTATCCCTAAATAAGCTACCCAAAAAATAAGTGTCGTTTGCCTCCTGAGTCCACAGAGGCAAATGAATAAACTGTCCTCATCTTGAGTTCCATCTGACTGTGTAATTAATGGGGTCCTCTGCCCCAGAGGACTGACAGTGCTGGGGTGCGTCAGGCTGACTGGCAGCTGGGCCATGCCTGCAGCTCACACTCTGCCCAGAGCACACAGCTGCACCCTTTGGCTCCTTGGATCAAGAATTCTGTTCTCGTGTGCCGGCTCTCAAGGAGGCATGGGCGCCTGCAAGCTGTGCCTTGTATCACATCCTTCTGCTTTTCCGAAGAGACGCCAAGCTTGGCCCATTTTTCGAAGTTTAGCAAGATTGGGTTTAGTCTACAGGAAGAAAGAGAGTAACTCCAATTAGCAATATGAAAAGCTACATGGCGCAGAAATACTCCCTAAATATGGCTATTTAAATCTGTTCAGCAGTCTCAGAAAAGACTAGGTTTTCTAAGTGGGTCTGCAGACGTTAAGTATAGATTCCCATCTCTGTCTAGGGACAAAGTTTTTTCATTTTTTTGTCAAGTGAAACAAAAAGTTCCCCATGGAGTAGCACGGGATGAGTCAGAAAGCACGGGGTACCTGAGACCTCATACGAGATTAGACTGCAGCCTGCGCTCATGTCGTTTCATGTAAGATTACAGCAAGGACAGAAGTGTTCCCTAATTCAAACCACCCTGCGCCTTTACTGCACTGCCGCTTCGCCGTTCCTGGACTGCTGAGTAAGCGGTCAAGTCGGCATGGCGCCCCCGCCGGCTTCCGGCCTGGCGCTCCCCACAGCGCAGCCCCAGCGGCCCGGGGGGCAGCTACCACTTCCGCGGGGCCGCTGAGCCAGGGATGTTTAGGCGACACGCGCCAGCAGCGAGTGTGCTGTTTCCACCGGTTTTCTGCGGCCGCAGAGGGGCCTCCTGCGTCTCATCAAGGCTCGCGCCGGGAGGCGGCGGGTGTTCAGACACAGTCTGCGCACTGGTAAGCTTACAAAAGACAAAGTTCACAGGTCTGATCTGACGGGTAAGCCCGAACTCCATTTTGAATTTGAGCGAGATGATGAAATGCTGAGGCTTTCTGTCATTTTCAAATCCCAAAGCCTATTTTTCAGAACTCCTGTTTTCTGGAACGGATTGAGACAGATTACATTTGGAAAACAGGGGCTGGAGGAGAAAGATAGACCTCTCTCCCTCTTCTCCTGTTCGTGGCGAACATGCCTGTTTCTCCTGCCCCAAGTGCTCTATGTCGGCCAGCGGCAGCATGGACGGCCTCCCGTGGGCGCACTGGAACGGCAGCTGGCAGCGGGACAGGGCTTCCATGAGGCGACGGCTCTCCTCTAGGCTCAGGCCATCGTTAAACTTAATGGCTCCTAGAGGAAAGACAGAAACGCGGCGTGTGTGTGCGCCGGGACGTCCACGCTTATTCTGGGTCAGGGCCAAATCTCTGGGGAAAGCGAGATGTTTCTCAGGCTTCCTTCACGGACCTTTAATAGCACCTGAAATGGGCCCACGGCTGTCGGGCACTGGCGCTTCTGAGCTGACCTGTCTTCTTAGCTGTCTTACTGGACTAGGTGCCTTTCTGATCCTTGCAGGAGGCAGCCCCTGACTTGTTAGGATTTGGCTTTGGGCGTTCCCTCAGGAGCAAGAACAGCAGTGCCCTACTTCTCAAAGGTGTGTGAAATAGCGGCCATGTTGTCCACAATCCTGCAACTAAGATTTCTCACTGTTCCAACAAGTCTGTTTCGTGTGCTTCTTTGTCCTACTTCCATAATAATCTTCCTAATCTAAACTCTCATACTGTCAATGCCAGCCTTTATGTATACATTAATTCACTCAAATATTTATTAAATATATGATGGTTTGCCACGGAGATTACAATTGAGATGAAAAAAAATTACAAAATGATGTAAAAATAATTAAACACACACACACACACACACATATATATGATAAACACACACACACACACATATATATGATGGTTTGTATTAGGAACTTTGCCAGGCAGTGAATGAGACAGAGTCTAAGGTCCAACAGGTGAAATAATGTTCAAACAAATCATTCTACAGTAATTTAAATTATAAATATAGGTCCTATAAAATCTAGGGTATGAAAAAATACATAATAGGGAAAACAAACCCATTTAAGGAGGTGAGGGAAGGTTTTCCTGGCCAAATGATCGGGACCTTAGGTTAGAAGCGGATGGGCCTGCCTGTTGGCACAAGAGGTTAAGTCTCAGCACTAGGAGGCTGTCACCAGCCACTGCAGCTCAAGTTTGATCCCCAGCCATGGAGGGGATGGCACATGTCACAGCTGACCTCTCCTGTCTCCCCCGCTGCTCCCCTCAGCAGTGTATTTCAGGCTATCTGCTTGTTCTGTTCCCTACTCGGTCTCTCGGTGAATCCTCTCACCTCTCGTACCTCTGGCTTGCACCCCAGTTACTGTGTGCATAAATAATGCTTTTAAATAAAACAGAAGGAACAGAAAGACAGAGGGGAAAGGCAAAGGGCAGACGTTCTACGCACACAAGGCCAGGACCAAGGAGGAGGCTGCAGTGTAAACAGCAAGGTGGGGAGTGGTGGGAGAGGAAGCTGGAGAGGCAGGCAGGGGCCAGATCCTGAAACCCTACGGGCCAGGAGAGAGAATAGAAGTTTTATCCTAAGAGTGAAGGGTAGTTAATGACACATCTTTGAAGAAAGGTACCTCAGAGAAACAGATTGCTCTAGTGCTGACGGGAAGAATGGCCTAAGGGGGAGCCAGGATGGATGTGAGGAGTCAACAGCGGCAGAACTAGTGAAGTGGAGACATACCACATCAGATGGATTTAAGGTGCATTCTGAGGTAGGTAAGATGAAATTTGGTGATCCAATAGATAATGAGGGTAAAGATAAAGAGGAAAAGGAATTTAGGATATCTGCATGAGACAAATGAAGGTCTGAGATTACTGAGCCAGAAAACAAAGGAAGAAAAGAGAAAGTAAATGGAGAGAGAAAATGAGGGAGAGTCAGCAGACTGGAGACCCCACTGTGACCAAGTAACTGTTGCCAGAGACCCCATAGGTCATATTCCCTCAAGTAAATTCCTCCAGTCCCCTAAAGTAAATACCATTTTCTGTATTTTATCACAGTACCTATGTAAGAACACTCAATGTTTCTAACACCTTCTTGATAAGCTTCTTTTGGCCTAGTTTCTCTTAATTTTTAAAAATGATTTGTTTTATTCATGTATACAAGATCAGGGGTACAGGCCAGAGGTGTGTATGTGGGGAGGGGTGAGAGGTTTCCCGAGAGACAGAGTGGGAGCAGAACAGGTATCCACTGAGACACACTGCCTAGGGGAGCAGGGGCGGGACGGAAGAGGCTGCTGCGCCCTGGGCAGCTCCCCGCTAGGAATGGGACTAGCGCTCAGGGCTGCCCACAACTTCACAGTGCTGCGCTTTAACCCCTCGCTCCATGTAGTTTGATACTCACTGCTGCTCTTCGTAGCATTAATTTGTTTCTGCCTTTGACTAAATCGCACAGGCTACTTACTCCTCATGTAGTAAGAATCCATGTTCCTAAGCTCATTTATATTCTCAAAATGCATCTCCTGTAAGTTACACCTCCACTCATATAAATCAGACTATATTTATGATCAAATACATATGTTGCTATTTCGCTTTGTAAAAATACTTTTTTAGTACTCACTATTTTTAGTAGAAGGCAGATTTATTCATGTAATAAGTGGGAGTTCACAAAAAAAGTGTGACTTTTGTATTCATTTTCTCATTCAGTTTCTTGAACTAAGTTTTATCCTTCATGAGCCAAGAAGCAAATGCGCCTTCTGTTTCATTCTTAACTGTGGTACCCCTGCCAGTCCTTAGCAGAGAGGCGCTCAACAGCAGGTGTGCTGAGAGTCTTACCGTGGCAGGCCTGGGACGCCAACACCCGCTGGACAGTCAGTGGCAAAGTCCCTTGGATGCCTCCTGTGGTCTGCAGTAGCTAATGCATAGACACATTCTTTATTAACGGGAGAAGGAGGTTGGGCAATGAAGCCTTTTATGTGTGGTGCCTCTGTGTGAAAACCCCAAAGAAGAGAAAGGTTTACCTCCACTTGTTCACGAATAAAATCCTACAAAGCAAAAAGGAAAAGAAAAGTATTAGTCTGTTACTATCTTACACTTGCCCTGTGAGAGTTCACAAAATATCCCATCCCCATTTTCTTCATTATATGACTCCTGAAGGAGAGCATTCCAACAATACAGCACTTACGTGCAAAGAAAATGTTATAAAATACTTTGACTGTAAAATACTAAGACAAATAAATAGATTTCTTATTGAATAGGGAATATACTTAGCTACTGAAACCTCCCCTAAAGATAATTTATCAGCCTAAGAGGCTATGTAACTGGCAAGAGTAGCCTTGATGATTCAATGGATTCTAAATATCAGGGAGACTTCTTAACCAAGAAGCTGTCTGCTTGTATTTATAATCTTAGCCACAACAAGTGTAATATTACACAGACAGAATAAATACACAACAATCATCAATGTCACTGTGCACTCAGAATAACACTTGCTTAAGTGTATTAAATATAAGTAGCATCTTTAGTTTCCATGGGCTTTTTCTTTTTAAAAACTTTTTGAAAATTCCTTTTGAATCCAAAAGTTTATTTTCCTAGGCATTATTTTGTTAACTTTCTTCTCACCAATATATTTCTGTCCCAGGGGAAGCCTTTCCTTTAGTAATATCCCTATTATTCACAAAAGGATTTTAGAGAAATTATTCATGTGATAAGTCTGTCTAAGCTCTGAAGGTCAAAAAGACTGTACAAAAGATCAGTAAAACCAAAAGCTGGTTCTTCAAGAAAATAAACAAAACTGACAAACCTCCAGTTAGGCTCACAAAGAAGAGAGAACACTTTAATAATCATGTAATTAGAAATAAAAAAGGAGAAAATACAACAGATAAAACAGAAATACAAAGGGTCATCAGAGATTATTATAAACAACTAAATGTCAACAGATTTGCTAATCTTGAGGAAACATACATTTCTACAGTAATACAGCTGACCAAGAAGAAACAGAAAACATGAAAAGACTAATCACAATTATGAAAGTTGGTACAGTAATCAAAAATCTTCCCAAAAAACAAAATTCCAGGTCTAGGTGGCTTTATAAATGAATTTCATCAAACTTCCAAAAAAAAAATTTGCCCATTTTGCTCAAGCTATTACAAATAATTGAAGAAGGGCCCTCCCTGGTGGTGCAACAGGTTAGGATGCAAACTAGCTGCAGCCACTGCAGCACAAGTTCCATCCCTGGCCAGGATGGTGACCCACATGGCGCGGCAGACCTCTCCTGACCCGCCCGCTGCTCCCCTCAGCAGCGTACTTCATTGATCTGCCTGTTCTGCTCCTTTCTCTGTCTCTGGTGAATCTTCTCATCCCTCTGCATCTCTGGCCTGCCACCAAAAACTACTGTCAATATTAAAAATGAATAAAGTAAAGTGGCAGGTTATAAAATGAACATACAGGAAATTTGTTGTATTTTTACATGCAATTAGTAAGAACAAAAGAAGTTACCAAACCCATTTATAATCACATCAAAAAGAATTAACCAAGAATTTATAATAAAAACTATAAGATACAATTAAAAGATATAGAACAAGAAATATGAAATGGAAAGACAGCCCATGTTAATGGATGGGGAAAATTAATTTAGTCAAAATGACTATTTTACCAAAAGTAATATATAGTTTTTTTCTACTTTAAAATATATGCTTTTAATGTTATACAATAGATTTAAATTTTTTTAGTCTTTTATTTATTTTTTTATTTTACAAAAGTCATATATAGTTTTAATGCAATTCTTACTAAAAATCCTATGATATTGTTTAAGAAAACAGAACCAAAAATACTAAAATTAATATGGCTAAAAATGTCCCCAAACAGGTGATTTGGTGATGGGAAACCCGCGGGGATTACAATCGAGATGGAAAAAAAAAATGTGCAAAATGATGTAAAAATAAACTTTGTAATAAATAACAACAACAACAACAACAAAAATGTCCCCAAACAGCAGGACCCTCCCTGGTGATGCAACAGCGTAAAGCGCAGCACTATGAAGCTACCGTAGCCACTGCAGCACTAGTCGGATCCCCGGCCAGGGAGCTGACCCGCATGACCCAGCAGACCTCGCCTGTCTCACCCGCTGCTCCCTCATCAGTGGATTTCAGTAGATCTGCCTGTCCTGCTCTCTACTCTGTCTCTGGTGAATCCTCTCACCTCCATCCCTGCACCTCTGGTCTGTACTACAGTTCTTGTATGCATAAATAAACAAATCTTAAAGAAAGAAAAGGAACAACAGATGTGAAAACACAGTTTTCCAAATAGTACATGTACATAGCCAACTGATACTGAAAAAGTGCTCACCATCCCTTCTAATTAAGGAAATGTAAATGACAATGAAATATCATCTCTCACCTATGAGAATGGCATACAGAAAAAGACTCCTCACAAGAGCTAGAGAGGATGTGGAGGAAAGAAGAACCCTTACACATTGTCAGTGGGAATGTAAGTTGGCACAGGCATTCCATAAAGCAGTCAACATGTTTTAAAAAAATAAAAATGGAACTACTATTTGATCCAGTAATCCTATTTTTTGCTGTCTGGAGAGCATGAAATCATCAAGTTGAAAATTCTATGCTCCATATCGTTTACTGTGACATTATTTCTAATGGCTCAGGTATATCAGCAGCCTGAATGCCTACCTGACAGAGGAATGGATAAAGAAAATGGGGTATATGCACACAATGGAATATAATTCAGCTACAGGAAAAGAGGAAACGTTACCATTTACAGCAACATGGAAGGAAGCTGAGGGAGTTGTCTTAAGCAAAGTAAACTAGAAAGATAAAGACAAATATTGGATGAATTCATAGGTGAGTAATGTAAGTAGATAAACTGAGAAAGCAAAATAATTATGAATTGAACCAAGGCTGAAAACCAAACTGAGGTTTCTGAAATTAAGAGGGCTGGGTTAACAAAAGAAAATTTAATGACAATAAATTATTTTTAAACATGGCACACTTAATGATTTCTTTATAAGAAAACACAGATTTCTTTACTCCTCAATATGGCTGCATATAAAATAACTTCCTAAGATTACAATACGCAGATCCTCTTTTCAAATCAGATTGAGAAAAGTCTTTCGCTACCTCAGATGTATTCTATCGTCCACGGGGTTTATAAATGAGCATACTTACCAAAAACTGGTGGTAGTTACTGTTTTTTGAAGCCATGTATTTCTCCAAACAAAATGGTATCAAATAATACCTGACCTATTATAAAGGCTTAGTACAGATACAGATCAAACTGAACTTCTTTGTTATCCTTTTTTGTGCTTACATATTTGCTAAGGGGAAGATGGATGTCATCTGTTCATTTCATATTTCAGTAGTTCAACTTATGTTGGATAACTTACGTAACATTAAAAAGGCTCAGCCATCATCAGTTTGATGGCCAGACTTTATAAAAAGATATATTAGTGGTCTTTCATCGGCTAGAATCCAAGCAGCTACCTCTTCTTCGAGACAGTTTTTGTTCCAGGTTTTTTTTCCCCAGAATCAACATCTCTCTTGATCAGCCTGAGTTAACATAATCAAGATTTTCTAAAACCCGTAAGCTTTGTTTCAACTTGAAGTAAACTCCTCACCGTGAGGCTTTGAAGTCACTCTCAGAAAGCTTTTATTGTAATCTTCTGGTTAAATACTTAGGGATTGAATTACAAGAAGAGTTCTGGCAAGTCCTATCTTTTGGATTTAAGACAGTTTGGAGGCGAACCCTGGAGAAAATAAGCTCTGTTGGGGAACAGGGTGCTGCTGGCAGCAAGGAAACGTCTGTCTGATCAAAGCACAGTTCGGGAAGGGGTGAAGCCAGGGGAACCCAAAAGCTGGCAGTAGTAACGCCTCGGCCTCCCACTGTTAGCCTACATCTCTCCCACCTGAGAACAAAATCTTCCCTGAACCTCACAGCCTGCCACACTTTCCAACCGCTCCTCGCCTTTCTCCATCTGTCTGTCTTCTGCATGCAGCCAGAGTTCCTGAAAGAGCAGTCTGCTTAGCTCTGCTTCACCCCTCCTCACTCACTCCCTGACCATCGCACAGTCTTCTGCCACCCCTCACTCCCAGAAAATGAGTCCACAAGGTAACTAACTATGTCTTCAAGACAGCCAAATGCAGCTTTTTAGGCTTCGCTCTATGGCCATGGCTGACCTTCTTTAAAACTTCCCTTGGCTTTAGCAATACTATGTCCCACCCCCCGCCCCCACCCCGACCAAATATTTTCAATCATCCTTTGCAGTTTTTCCTTTTGGCAGTAGCTTTCCAGACCTTTGCCAAAACACATACACCCTGAATGTCGGTGTTCTACAGCCTCTGCTCTTTGCTCTCTAGTCTCCATATTTTCCCTGGACAATCTTACTTCCTCTAGAACTTTCTGCTCCAGTTTCTGATATTATCAAAATATATATGCTGTTAACTCCCAAATAGTTATGTAGAGGGCCCTGACGCCTTTGCCAGCACTAGGTCTGTGAGTCTGCCTAGCCACCAGATAGCCCCACTGGAAGGCACATTGAATGTGTTTAAACCGGGGTGCTTAGGCTAGCAGCCAGGAGAACTCCTCCTCCTCCATTTCCTTTTTTTCTGTCAATACCACACCCCCACCGCCGTCCTTCTACTCATCCACAATAGAACTCTCAAAATCATTACTTGTATTTTCTCCTATTTCCCTTTTATAGTCTAGTGCCATCAGGTACTCTTGATTCTACTTTTCAAAGTATGTTTTAAGTTTTTCCCCTCCATTCCCACTGCCTCATCCTCACTTATATGAACCAACCTAACAGCCTCCCAACTGCTCTCCCCACCTTAAAACTTTCTCATATCTACCGAACTCACAATTTATCCACTAAATCTATTTTTTAGATATTATTAAAGTAATTCAGAAAATGGTAGACCAAACTGATAGGAATTTTCCTGTGCCCCAAGTAGAAAGAGCTAGAAATAAAGAGTAAGAAACCATAATGGATAAAACAAACTGCTAAAGAGACATACATGATGATACAGCAAATAAAAAAGTAGTCTGGAAATAAACACGGACTATAAAATTAATGACTACAAAGAGGATAAAGAACATGTAGACTTAAAACAGGCAACAACGTGGAAGATGGAGGAGTGCTGGAAGGTAAGTATTGTAAGGTTTGTGTGCAGTTTAGGAACAGAATGGAGAAAAATATATAAACTTTAATCTTTGCTAAGTATGCAAGCTACAACTCAACTTTTAACCCATTAGAGGAAAAACAGAGAAATCAAGAAAACTAAAAAAAAAGGAAAAGCAAACAAACAAAAAAAACCAACAGGAAGAAACGGTCCTCTTCAACTCATCGCCACCTGGCAGGCCTCACCGTGATGCCATCACGCTCAAAGCACAGTGCTGAAAGCAGCCGACCACTTGCGGCTGTGTTAAATCTGTTATCGTTTGGCCTTCAAAGCCTTTCAATTCCCTCATCTAGTGTCACCATAATCCAGGACACATCTGGGGACCCTTAAACACAGGACCCACTTCAAGCCTCTGGTATCTGTGGCTCTGTCTAGAATGCCCTCTGTCCTTGGCGGTCCCTGTTATTCTACTAGACTTTCCCTAAAACACGAACAACAATGAAACAACTTTTCTGTGCAAAAGCTGTTCTGCCTTCGTCTACCTCTCGGGACACAGTAATCATTCTGCTGGTCTACGGCACCTTTGATCATACCTGGGCATATTTCATCGTATTACAATATTTTACATGTTCTTCCTCACCTTGGTCAAATCCATCTTTGAATCTCTAGCACTTGGCACACAGTGACTATTCATAAATACTGAATATAAGCTGAATATAGGTGTGGGCGGTGAGAAGATTCACCAGAGACAGGAGGGGGAGCAGGGCACGTGGATAAGCTGCGAGAGACGCAGCCATTTCCTCGAATCTGCACCCCTGTCTTACCTCCACGATACTCTTGGTCACGGTAGACCTTCCTCTTCGAAGTTCATTGGCCTCTCTTTCTACAAAACAGAGTGGTACTTTTCCTACAAGGACCAGAGAATTACTGGTGTCTGGAAATATAATTTCAAGGCCCAGATCTTCCAGATTTTTGTGGTAACACCTAAAAAAGATAGCCTCAAATGTAAAAATGTTACACATTCATATTTCATTGCTGCTCCCAAAAACTTAATGATTTTTCAAAAGCTGCCATACATTTAAAAAGTTGTACTGTTTTTCTCTCACAAACTGTTTTTTAGGATTTTATGATCAAATTTCCTTTTTGCATTACAGTAATCTCCTTTACTTTGCCCTCTTTTCCATTGAGAGGATCAATTTGTTTCTAAGTTTTTATTCTTCACTGAGGAATTGCTACTTCTCTGTGTTGCTGGCACTTACAGAAGTTTGGCACAAATCAAATAGCAGAATGTTTTGAATCAGCATTAAAGCAGGGAGGTAATTAACAGCCTCAGGAACGGAGAAGTCCTGATTAACGGGATGTAAATATATGGATCTGCCTCTAATATAATTTATGCTCCAGGGAAAAAGACGTATTGGCAGTAGCATATTCCCAAACCTGAAGTAAATTCAGAGACAATTCCCCTTTTCATTTCCAGTCAACTGTGCTTCTCCAAAGTGGGAAAATGTCCTATCTTGTGACTCACTATGTGATTTGCAACTTGTGGCCCAGGATTTTACTTTCTTCCCAATATGATCATGCTAATGAAAATTAAGACTCTAGAATGCACCAAGGCAAAGCAGAATGGAAGCAATTACTGCAGTAACTTTGCTTTCAGAAACAGCACAGCATAAACACTGACTATTCCAAGAAATGCTAACAGTGTTCTAAGCCAACTGCTGGAAAAAATTATCAAGGAAACTCTATCCTACACTCAACAGATGTGCTATAGTGGAAACAACCGCACTTGGAGTCAGAAAACCTACATCTGCACGCCTGCCCCTGCTTCGCAGCTGCATCATCGTGAACGAGTCACGCGGCCTCTTCTTGCTCTCCTTGTCTATTCTGGAAAACGGACTGCTACGTATGCTTATGCCTTACAGGACTGCTGCGGCATCTGCACCACCAACATCACACTCAGATGTGGTACGAACCGTAAGAGTCTTCTTTGTTCTTCTGTGACTGTTATCTCTAGAGGAGGACTTACAGTGGAAGACAGTAATTTTTTCCGACCAGAGCCTTGTGACTGTTGCTTCTCATAGGAATCTGTTGGAAGAAAGATGATCAGGTTAAGAGGAGGAAGTGAAGTCTCTTAGATTCAGGCATAATTGAAGCATAATAAGGCAGAGCTATGTTAATCATTACACTGCCTAGCAGGCTATTCAATATTCACTTTCAGGCTTTGAGTTTCCATTATTAAAATCAAACTAGTAAGTATGCAGTCTATTTATTTTAGCAGCTATTTTCCAAAATAAGAAATATTAAGACTTAAACCTTACAGTCAAGTGAACCAGACAATGTCCCTGTAGTCAATAAATGTGGTTTCAATAACAGAGGTGAATAACGTAATTACTGGGGAAATAGGATAAGGGCTCATTATATAATTCTATAGTTCAGGAAGACTTCCCAGCTCCTTCAGAAGGGCTTCTCAGGCTCTGAAGAGAATTAATTACCACTAATCTTAAATGGCCCAGGAGCTACAGAAAGTAAGTTTGTCTAAGACTGCCTTGACTAGGTCTTTCCCAACAATTAGTGCTTCATTTTATGAGAAGTGAACATGGGAGTAGTATCACTACCATTTTGGACATGCCTGAACTCCCTAGGTCCTCAGCTAATTCTCTGACATGTGATTTTTTTCACTACTTGAACACAGATTCAAGATTTTCCTGGTATTTTACCATTTGGGGATGAGAAAAATAGGCAGAGATTCAAAAGCACATGTTGCTGTTGGAAGGTGATGTAGCAAATTGGTACGTTGTCTCTGGAAAAGGAACTAGGTGGAATTAGGGGGGATGAGGGACGGGGTAGAAGGGAGACTTCATTATATTCCCTTTGGCAACTTTCAAACTTGAACCTGCTTGAACACCACCTATTCAAAACAAATTAAATTTTAAAATCAAAACCAACATTGTGCCAGCGGTACCTCCCTGAGGCACCGTGAAGCAGGCACGCCATCATCCCTTGGGCAGGGCTGAGAGGGCACGTCGTGCTGATGTCCAAGGAAAAGAGCCTCCCCCCACACTCAGTCTTCAGGGCTGATGACAAACACACACAAATATGCTTCTGACCATGTAAGTGGGACGCACACATTTGAATCCGTAAGGAGAACCACATTCTTCACTTACAAAAGAAGCCAAGCCAAAGGACTTTAGCTAGAATTTTTAAATATACAATTCATCTTCTCTTACAACAGTCTCAGTTAGAAAACCTCTCACATGTTCTGATTTCTTATTTATTTACTTTTTTTTTTTTCTTATTTATTTACTTTTACACATATTCTGATTCTTATGGGGAGTCCCAAATCCTGTCCAGCTCCAAAGGTCCTTACCAATGATCAGCTGCTCCAAACGGACACGCTCATGAGCAGCATGCTGGTCCACCACAACTAGCAAGTTCCCACCTAGAAGATCAAGTAAGGGTTGCCAGAGCTCTGAATCTCAGAATAGTAAAATAGTCATAGTGTGTTGAAAGAGAAAAAGGTTAAACCATTTAACAACTTGAGAATAAAAGAAACATCTATACTGGTGGCCTCCCTGGTGGCCTCGGGGTTGTCTCAGCGCTATCACTGCTATGGCCTGAGTTCTATCCCCGCCAGGGGGCTGACCCACATGGTGCAGTAGACCTCTCCTGACCTGCCCGCTGCTCCCCTTAGCAATGGATTTCAGTGGATCTACATATTCTGCTCCCTACTCTGTCTCTGGTGAATACTCTCACCTACTGTACCTCTGGCCTGTACCCCAGTTCTTCTATGCATAAATAAATAAATCTTAAAAAAAATTTTTACAGAAACATATACTGAGTAGTAAACATTATATATTTTATTTCCCCTAAAAAATTTAAATTATGGGGAAAACTACAGCAAATTTATTCCTGATGAAAACTCTTTATTTCCAATACAAGGTTAAAACACTGTTTAAATACTGATTTTGCTTTATTAATTAAAATTTGATACAATGAAAGATCATTGAAAAATACTTTATTAAAATCAGCTGAACTTACTTTGTAAACTATAACCCACAATGAATGAAATTCTAAGACACTTCTGATCAGAGGCCAGCATACTTTTTTTTTTGTGACAAGCCACACAGAAAATATTTTAGACTTTTTGGATGCATGACTCCTGTCACAGCCACTCAACCATTCATTCTGAGCCAAAACAGCCAGAGACAGTATGTGAAGATTCTAGCTGTGTTCCACTAAGACATTAGTTATGAACACTAAAATATTAAATTTTAATGTGTTAAGAAAATATTCTTTTGCCATTTCCCCCTTTAAAAATATAAAAATCATTCTTATCTTCTGATAGTAAAAACCAGGTAAGCTTGAATTTGGCCAAATGGCCACGGTTTACCTGAATTTAGATTCAGGCTTTTCAAACTGTAAGATGCACAGAAACTACCTTCGCACCTAATATAGATTCTGATTCAGTAAGTTAGAGCTGGGATACACGATTCTGCAATTGTAACAATTACCCAAGTGCTATTCACAGACCTCGATTTTGAGTAACACTTTAGATTCTAAAGTGCAAGAGAGGAAGCAAAATGTCAGGACCCAAAAAGCCAATTTTCACTGACAGGCAGACTGATTCTCTAGTATCTAAATACATCTTTTTAAGCTTGTATGTTTACTACTTTGGGCCAAAAGATTACAGCTTATTGCACTGATAAGAATGAAAGAAAAGTTTTCTTAAATTTGATCAAAATAAACATTGCCTATGTAGGAGATCAAAAATCTGCAAACACCAAATATGTCGTGTTTGACAAAAACTTCATTTCAGGGAGGGGCAGGGAAGGCTGGGTTGAGGCTTTAAAAAATTTTTATATCTAAAATTCTCTCTGTAACAAGTCTATTCCAGAAAGAGCTAGTCCCCTATCTCTTTTAGAAGAAGGCAGAAAAATAGCTTTGTTTTTCCTACCAAACACCCTGACTTCCCTTCTATTCCCCAACCTCCCCTGCTAGCTATTTAGGATGGCATCTGTGTGTCACATGTACATAGGAAGTATACATATCATTATTAAATTTCTATATGTCTTTTTAAAAATCAATCTGGTGCATGTTTGATTTGTAGCTACCTAGAAGAACCTGAGGGGTAAGGGATGATTTCCTTTGTTCTTCAATAATTTTACCCCCAAAGTATCTTTCCAATACATTCACTTCTCTCTAGGCTGCCCTGGTCCCAGATAATTATCATTTCTTAGATATCATGACACCTTATTAACAGTCTCTCTGCCGCTACTGGGCCGGCACCCCACACCTAATCTATTCTTCACACTGCTACCAGAGCATTATTTTTGAATGTAAATGTGATGACACATGCCACTGCAAAAACAACAATGACAGCAAAAGTAAACAAAAAGTTTTCCACTATTTCCAACTGGCATTGGCACAAAGACAAAGCTTGTGTCTGGCATCTAAGACCTGGCTCCAATCTGCTTCTCTTGCCTCAGGTCCTTGTTCTCGTTCCAGTGGCACTGTCTGGCCTCCTCTCACCAAAGGAGATGCCACAATTACACCTTATTCCCTCTGCCCAGAATACACTGCCTTCCCTCCATCCCTTAAGGTAGTTAACTGATGTTAACACTTCAGATCTCACTTTACCTGGGAAGCCTTCCCTGACTAATTCAAATTTCCCAATACAGTTCTTAACATCTTGCTTCTCAATTCCACATCACTAGCTAGAGTTGAAATTTTAACATTTGTGTAATCAATTATCTGTGTTCCCAACATAAATCTTTTTTACCACTATCGGTGGGCCTAATACTGTCAGTGCCTGGCATGCAACAAGCATTTGATCAATATCTGTGAATGAACTACTATTATCTATAGTCGTATAAGTGCAAAGCTATGTACATTTGTAATGTCTTACAATAGTAACTATTAATATTACTTTTGAACTATTTTTGTTTTATTAAACAAGTTACCAAGGTACTGTATGTAACTCTTGATAAACCAGTTAATTTTATAAACTTTCTATTATTATAAAGGGAATACATTAAGACATTGTTTAAGTTGCACAATACAAACTATTTTAATATCTCCTTTGCCCACTTTCATTCTCACTTGCAAGGTAACTGTTGTTAATAGTTTAACACATACATTATATATGTTTATGTAGCCAAAACCAAAAAGTACTTTAAAGCTACTGTTTCATAATAGTAATTGAGATTGGTTTTTCCCTTATCTGTCCAAATCATACAACTGAGTGTGTAATAGAAAAAGGAGGCTATTAGAAGAGCAGATGGTTATTAATTGAGGCTAAACACCATTCTTACCTGCTTCTCCATTCTCTTCAGTCTTAGTGCTCATTAAACAGGCAATAAACTTGTTATCCACTTGCTGCAGAACCTGCCATACATTCAAATAAGCAGTACAACACTAAATAAAAAATATCAAAAGATTTATCTGCATATGTGGAAGCAACCCAAATGCCCAAAAATAGGTGACTGGATCAAGAAGATGTGATATATTTGTCGGATGAAATATTACTCAGCAATCAAAAAGGATAAATTTATGCCCTTTACAGCAACATGGATGGAGCTAGAAGGGATTATGTTCAGTGAAATAACCCAGAAAGAAAAAGAAAAATGTCAAATGGTCTCACTTATAGGAACCAAAGGAGGAATGAGGGAGGAAAAAAAGTAACTATAATAAAGTAAAAATCAAAATCACCAGGCAACTATAGATCAGAGATATTCTGTAGGGGAGGAGGAGGGAGAAGACCAGGACATGGGTGGGAAGAGTACAGGACTATGATGATGGTGCACAGGTGAACTGGTGGTGGGAATTCCATGGGGAAATCACAGATGGAATAAAAATGAAGGATGATGTAATGAATATATTTAAAAAGTAACAAATTAGTATCTGCATAGCAGGAGACAGAACTGTAGTGTAATTTGAATGATGCCACTCATGCCTAAGACTGAGGTGCCAAGGAAGGTGAAAGAAATAGCAAGCAGAGTGGACACACAAGAGGAGGTGGCCATGGGCATCTACAGCAGATGTGCCCACAGTGTTGGAGTAGCCCCAAGGGTTTCCAACAGAATGGTTCTTATTAATAATCTGTGTTATGATCAGGGAGTTGTTAAAGTGCTTTGCTTTTGGTACTGAAACCTCCAGAGAGATTTCAAAACATGTGCCTTGACAAGGGTGGTCGGTATCATTAATCAAATTTTACATAACTTAATCTACTGTAGATCCTATAGTTGTTGTTTGTTTCTTTTAGTAATATTTCAAAGTCAATCTTACCTGCACTGAATGAATCATTTCTTTGGTAAAACGGTAGGGAAACAAAATGTTGTGGATCTTAACTGCCAAGCTCTCAGCCTGGCCACTGCTCACATCAACAGCAACCTAAAAAGACCCACACAGACATCTTTTAATTTTTTATGCCTGCAGAACTGTTTTGTCAAAAATCTCAAAGGTGCTTTAAAAATACTCATGGGGGCCCTCCTTGGTGGCACAGTGGATTAAAGCGCAGCACTGTAAAGCTGGCCTCGGCCGCTTTGGTGTGAGTTTAATATCTGTCCCGCAGGTGATCCACATGGTGGGAGAGACCGCTTCTGTTTTGCCCGCTGCTCCCCTCAGCAGTGTACTTCGTAGATCTGCCTGTTCTGCTCCCCATTCTTTCTCTGGTGAATCCTCTCACCGCCCCTGAGCCTCTGGCCTGTACCCCAGTACTGTATGCATAAATAAGTACCTCTTAAAACAAACCAAAAAAATCATTTTGGGTCTTCCCGGTGGCCTAGGGTTAAGTCTCAGCATCATCACCATTACAACCACCATTACAATCCCCAGCCGGGGAGCTGACCCACATGGTGCAGCAGGCCTCTCCTGACTCTCCTGCTGCTCCCCTTGTCCATGTATTTCAGTAAATCTGCCTGTTCTGCTCCCCACTCTGTCTCTGGTGAATCCTCTCACACCTCACACCTCTGGCCTGCACCCTAATTCTTCTATGGAAAGGAAAAAAAAAAAAACCTCACTTTAATAGAACCTACTAGAAGTGGACTGAATTCAGGGAATTTACAGAGATTCAAACAATTATGAATTACTAGTCAAATGATAATTTTTGTTTATAAACAAAATTACTGGCAAACCCCAATACGTTGCAACAACAATTTGTCTATGCTCCATGATCACTGTCTTAAAGACATCTTAATTGAAGAAGCAGTAATCAAAGCTCATCAATTATGCACCCTCATTACTGTGCACAAAGTTTCTGTGATAACATACTGATGAGGGAACTTCTATTCCAATGGTGAACTATCCCTTTCATAGAAGACTCACTAAAGTTAATCTTTATTGCTATCTAATGAAAACAATTTTTACTATCACCATCCTAAATAACCTGCTAAAACTGAAAGCGAGGGTTTTTAAGAGTGGCAAGAACTCACTATTCACACATCAACTATACATGTTTAATCCAAAATGTGAGTTCCCAAGATGCTATGAATTCTGATTCCTTCTCTCTACATTAAATATTAATTTCCAAATAAGGTATTTGGAAACATGCCTACTTCCCATTCATAACCACAATTCAGTACAGAGTTTCATACTGATATTCAGATTAAAGTAAATTCAAATTTTAAAATAACTGGCAAAGAAAAATTGTTGCAAACCCACCTCTGGGTAACGGGGAAATACTGGGTTGTCCCATTCCGAGATCAAAGATTGAAGTGATTCACTGACAAAAGCATCACTCACAGTATCTAGGAAGAAAGGGGACAAGTAAAGTTGGCATCAAGAGCCTCAGGGAAAGGGGTGAATAGCATCTCCTATCTGTTGTGGTGCAGCCTCAGAGCCAAAGATCAGATGTACTGTTCCCACACTATACGCTTGCTCAGTGTTGCTGTGTCTCTCAGTTGCTTTGACTTGTTGCTTTTTAAACTTGAGGTGATAACTGTATCTTCTGGCATTGCCAAGTTTTTCTACCAACTATTTACAAAGATCTTTCAGAATATAAGTTCTGAAGAAAAAGGATCAAATTAGTAGCCTTCCTGCTTTTGGTAAAATATTTATTAACTTTCCAAGAGAAAATTAAAGAAAATTAATAAATGTTGGTAGCTTTTCTGAATCTGAGTTTTATGTAAAACCACTGCACTATGGAGTACAACTTCAATCTTTAAAAATAAACATTTTCTCCATCACAAGATACCGCACACTGTGCAAAGTCACCCAGTATTGACCTGAAGTCTGGAAAAGTAATTTCTGATCTAAATGCATGCACTAAACTACTTAGTTCTGCTGTTAAATAGGACCGTGGGGAATTCCTGGTTCCAGTAAGGCACAGCTGGCATTGATCAAGCTTAATAATAAACCCTGCTTGTTTTGTGTGTGTGTGTTTTTTTTTAATTAGGTGGTACGATGTGTACCAGGCAGTTGTCCCAGCAATCTCTGTGATTGCCCCTACCTCTGTTAGTCGGTATCATCATAGTCCTGTCTTCCCGAGCTCTAGGAAGGAAAGGAAGAACAAGGCTGCTTCTAAAAGGATGACACCTGTACTGAGAGCCTAAATATAAAACAAATAAACAATAACAGGAAACTAAACATTTGAACTCAAATATAAATAACTTATTTAAAATTTAAGTTACATAGAATGTTTTTGCATAAGCTGAATCAAGACACAGGCAGACTGCCGAACATGAGATTGGTAGTCAAGTTCTTTAACGAAATGGTTGTGCTAATTTAAAAACTACAGTAATGGCCAGTCCCACTATTCAGCTCAACCAGACAGAATGAGTAACCTAAAATAGATCACTGCCTCTCAATGTGGGCAATTTTGCAAGGGGAACATTTGGACCATGTATTGAGATACTTTGTTGTTACAACTTCAGTGAGGAGTGCCACTGACATTTAGCAGATATAGGTTAGGAATTCTGCAAAATAAACTAAAGTGCATAGGGCAAACCTTACAACCAAGAAGTATCTAACCCAAAACCTCTCAGTGTTACTGTTGAAAAACTGCATCCTTTGGTGCCTGTGCAACCATCACAAACCCCTAATTAATAGGTCACGTCTCCCCAGTGCAAATCTCTATTATAATGTTTTCTTGATTATATTATATTAATTATGTTTGGCTAGCTATCTTAATTAATAGGCCAAACTCCAGAAAGCAAAGTCAATTAATCTGCAAAGTGACAGCACCTAGCACAGGACGAACAGTCAATAATTGAGTGAATAAATAATTGAGATAAATGAATGGCAAGTTCTCTATTAAAACTCCAAAGTCTAGACAGATCTGGCCCAAATTCTCTCCTCTTATCTAAAAGGTGACTGGCTCTTTTAACACAATGCTGAGTCTGACATTTTTTGAACAGGAACAAAACATGGCAAAACTATTATTTTAAAAAAATATACATATATGCTGAACCAAAACTAGAGAGAGATGAATTTGGAATGATAAAATGATGGTTTAAGGTGAAATAAGGTTGTCGCTGATTATGAAAGGACAGAGTTAGAGACATTTTAAAGGAAAAACTGCCAGATTTTAGACACTGGCCACTACTCCTTAAACTTACTTTTAAAGATTCTTTCCTCTGTACAATTAAAATCACCGCTTAATAATTCAACTTCTGTAGCATTGTTATGCCTGGTTCAGCAATTTCCTACTACAGTCTTTTCCAGGAAGGTGGCCTCCATGTGAACAGAGGGTGCCTAGCATCATCTACTTGTTCTATGCCCCAAATACTTTATTTTCCACTATGAAATTCTGGGTTAACATGACTCTAAAAGTTCATTACAAGACTGTCTAATCAGCAAGGTAAGTAGGTTGAAGTGTTTTAAACATCTAGATTTATTTAACAGGAGCCTATGTTTATGTCGAGTGTGGTAGCCAGTATTTCCCCTCTGTTTTGGCAATAGACTTCTCAGATTAATGTAATCCAGTTATTTTTTTATCACCACATCAGAAGTAATTGTATTTCAGGAAGATGAGGTGCAGTGCCTTAGATTTACCTCTGATAAGTATTCAGTATAAATCAGGATACAGGCTAAAAAACACATGTGTCTTTAAGAGCAACCCGATAGTCTCAGGAGCAGTAGTGAAAGGGGAGCGTTTTCTCCTATTTAATATTTTGAAAGTTATCACAGTACTTGGTTTTCTTTACAACAACAAAAAAGAAAGATCTAATATAACTTCTGCAAGAGAAACAAGTTAACTTGTTATTATGTTTACCAATTTACATTATTTTGTGGCACTTAAGACTTTTACTATGGATGCACATTTAATGTTTACCCTCCTGATGTAAAACCAAGATGATAGCCAGATGGAAATCAGCTTTACCATCTCCCAACATCTGGTTCTCAACACCCTGCCAAAACAGTCTCTTTATTGTGTGAGACTTGAGAACTGAAAGTCCTAGTTTAGGCAATAATGTAATCCTGTGGTATGATGTAAAAGTCACTTTACTGTCTTTCTAAGTAACAGTTACTTATACCATAACAGATCAAGTGGATTAGCATATATACTATAGTAAAGCATATTTTAAAAGTATAGCTATGAGCATAGTTAACCAATGTTCCAAAAAAAACTTTTGTTTACCTTAAAAAAAAAAAAAGAGTTCATAAATATAGTGCTTACTGAGCCATAGGTTTTACTGGGAAACCTAGGATGACTACAGGATCATTCTGGCCCTTAAGCTGGGAGCCACAGAAAGCGACTTCCAAAAAAAATCACCACACTGTCATTGCAAGTACCTTTAAGACCGGTTTCCAGGAGGGTTGTATATTTGGTGAGGAGGTGGGCAAGGCAGGCGAATGCGGTTCAAGCAGATGGCACTGTTGACAGTACCATTTTCATCAAAATGTGGCTGCCTTGCCCTCCCCTGCACACACCTCCATAGACATATGCATACAATTCTCTGTCTTTCATCTTACTTCAAGATTTAAATAGTATTGCACTTAGAGCATCTTCATAAAAACAGATGTTATATAACTACAATTAAAAATGTTCTAAGAGCTGAGATAATCTCTTTCGGCAATGACAATTTTACCCCTTGACCATTATTCCTGTCTCAAAAGCACTTCATGCCGGTGAATACTGCATACACACCGTTCTCAAGCAGGACGTCCACCGCCACAGTGCTCAGGTCTTTAGTACAAGCAGTCTGCACATCTTCTGCAGGCGCAGTGAACGAGCTAAGGCCAGTTATCTTATTAATGTAAACCATTCTTCCCAGGGCTACATCAAAATGCTCCTGCCAATCCAAAGAACATGTGTTTGGCTCATCGCTTTCAGAACTAGTTCTTGCTGTAGATTCCTCACTCTGGAAACAAGTTCCATTTGGCTCCTCTGCAGAGTCTTTCGCCTGACTCAGTGCCATTCTACAAGAAGAGTCAGGACTTCCTATCTGTTGTTGTGGTGCTATAAAAATATCTGAATCTTGATTGGTAACTGTAGCATTATTACAAGGTAGTATCAAAGGTGTTTCTGGCATCACAGAATTCTCTGTTGTAACATTGTCAGAATATGTTTCATTATCTTTATTGAAGGAGTTACCCTGTATGACCAAATCCAAGACTGAATCTGATTGTGAAAGTTCGTTAAAATGACTCCTCTCCACTGTTCCAGTCTCTCTTTCAGAATCTTTCATCCTGGATAATTTAGAAGCTAATGATGCAGGTGACTTCTCAACATCCAAAGGCTTTCTGTTCACGTAAGATAACTCCTGTAGTGTTACAGGGCTGTCTCTTAAGCAAGGTATTTGTTGTTCCAAACAATCTTCTTCCTCAGAGAATGGAAACTTCTCTGAATAAAGGATGTGATTTAGTTGACAACTGTTTGGAGCATTATGTTCCATATCAGTGATGTCACAAATGTCAGAGTTATCAATGTAGTTTCTTTCTTTCTGTAGGATGTCAGGTTCAGCTTGAGGGCTGAGATTAGTAATGATTTCAGAATTATTTTCTTCCTCTTCTGGATTCAGAGAATTTTCAACTCTCCCATATTGTCTCTTAAACCTCTCTAAAGATCCTAATTGCAAACTTAAGCATAGCTTTTTATGGGTTATGGGATTGGAGGAACTGATTAATTTCTTTGTTTTCTTACTACCGTTTGAAACATGTCTGCACCAAGGGAAAGAGGTTGTATTAGGTAATAAGCAACCTGTGTGTGGTTTTTTGCTATGTTCCTGGAAAACAGCAAAATTTTTGTAAGTTGCTTCAGGCTTGCTCTCTAGCCCGTAACTTCTACTTGTTCTACTCAAATTTTTGTTGGGCAGTTGAGGAAATTCTTTACTTAACGTGCTGGTTAAATCATTGCTATTTGGAGTCTCAACCGAAAGGCATTTTCTATTTCCAAATGTTTCTTTGGCACTCACAGGACCAGGCTGAACACAATTTTTTAATAAAAATTCTGTTTCTGTCGATTTACCCTGCTCACTTTGTACCACATGAGTTATGAAGCCAGTGGAAGATAATTTAACTTGTCCATAACTAAAAACATTAATTCTTTCACAATTACTAGGTTCTTTATTTCTGTTTTCTTCTCTACGAGCACAATGTACTCTTAACGTTCTCTCAAAAGGCAGAGGTTGGCATACATTTTCAGAAGCCTCTTTAAATCTCTCCACTTGATTTTTAATTTGATTGTTCTTCAGCATGTTGGAAGACTTGCATTTAAGAGCAGTATTTACTTTCTGTATTTCTAGGTCTTCTCTAATCTCCTCCAAATGATACGGTGTCTGAGAGGGGCTTGCAAGCATTTCTGAACTTGTCTCATGTGGATTTTCTGAAGAGTTCAGTTCTAAGCTAGATTTTTTATGCTTCTTACTTTCTTCTGGTTCTGATGCTTCAGCTGCCTCTTGTTCTAAGATCCCTGATTCTAAACAAGAGCTTGCTTTGTTTTGCAAAGGCAACTCTGTCATTTTACTATGGCTTGTGCTATCTGATTCTTGAGTATACAAAAATGAATTGTTTGTCTTTCGTTGGATAACCTCTGGATCCTGAAAATTTTCTGTGTTTATATTTTCTGTAGTAGCTTTTCTTTTCACAGCTTTGGATTGCAAATTAAACATTTCATAGGAATCTAAAATATTAGTACATGCTTCTTGGAAACTGACCTGGTCACACTTTTCATCGGTGGACACCTGCTTCTGAAGAGTGGCACTAAAGACACTAAAATCATTATCTTCATTAAATTCTTTAATATCTTCACCTGATAATTCCACAAATAATTTTTCTTTCTTTAAAAACATTTTTACTCCTTCCTGGATGCAAATCAAGAGAGTATCCCAGTTCTGAAACTCAATCAGAGTTTTTGCTGGCTCCATGCACACATCATACTCACAGAATTGGCACTGCACGTTGATTACATAGATCCCATGGAGTTCTGGGTTTGACCGATGCCGAGGACTTGAATTCATTTGCCTACTGGCAGAGCCATTCTTTGGCTTGCATATACTACTTTCTTTCCTTAATAAAAAGTCAATGAGTTTATGCAACTTTGTCCTTAAAACTAGCCTTTTGTTCACAAACAAAAACTGCATATTCTTATTATAATGTGCTTCAGAGCTGATATAGCCACTAAGCTCAAACTCCTTGTATTTAAATTTCATTTCTTTTAACTTTTGGGACTTACCCAGTCCATAAATTTGACAAAATCGGGAACATATGTCTTTGGTTTTAGGGAGCTGAAGAACCATGGAACCAGAAACATCATTTCTCAAAGAGAAAGAAATGGAAGGGTGCACAAGTGAGAGTGCTTCTATCCTCTGCCTCACTTTCTCAAACTCCAGTCTGGGGTCCATGCATTTCCTCCTTACAGGTAACCGGTAAAATAGATTATATACTGTTACTGTTGTCCCAGTGCTTGGTCTATTCAATTCAGCTTCACAAGCTTTCAGGGCTTTTCCATTCTGAAAGAGTTTCACAAAAGTTTTCATTGTCCTATTTCTCTTGGATGAAATTTCCACAGCACTGGCCATGTCAGCTATACTTGCCAAGGCCTCCCCTCGGAAACCATAAAACCTTGGATTTTCCAAGTCCTGTAGAGAGTTGCATTTACTGGTGAAATAACGGTTTCCCACTTTGTCTACATCCTCACTCCCCATCCCCAATCCATTGTCTATCACTTGAACTTGGAAAGTTTCCAGATTCACCCTGACAGCCACACATTTTGCTTCCGCATCAATACTGTTGAGGGCAAGCTCCTCAACACACTGGCCCAAGGAGCACAGAGCCAGACCAGAACGCAATCTGGCTTGCACATCAGCTGACAAGCACTTGATCATGGCAAGTTAAAAGCTGGTGAGAGGGCCAGGCACTGGTTTCCTTCTCTGACTGGAAGAATTGCCTGTGGGAGGGGGGAAAAACACACACACTATCAAAGCTTCAGAGTTATATAGCATTATTCATTTCTCCCACACATTATGAAGAATTATCACTTGAGGTAAATGAAACCACCTTGTAAAATAAAACAAAACAAACTGTAGTTCTGATCTCTGGGCAGATCACACAGCTCATGCTTAGTGCAATGGCTTTAATACCCAAAGCAACAGTCATAATTTCGTCATTTTCACTGCTCTTTTCTAAATCCTACATGCCCCGAAGTGAACTCATACTCACACTTGAAGTTGACTCGTAAAGATTGTGCTCAAAATTCAATCACTTCACCAAAAACAGACGCATCAACTAAATTCAGCTAAGAAATGCTAGAAATTACTTATGAAAAAAAGTCCAAGTTTGTTTCATAATATTTGTACGTTACACAATAACCATGACTTTTAGAAAAAAACATAGTGAAGTGTTAAGACACTGTAATAAGGAAAGCAATAAACAAGAGGACATTTTAAAAATTTAATTGTTGTATCAAGAAGATATTAAGAGAATCATCATTGCCATCATTATAATTAGTTATTATTGGTATTATTAGTTTTTATTGGTGGTAGCGGTTAAGTGTAGTTGCCTCGGAGGAAAGTAACTGAAAATGGGAAAGATCAAAGCAGGAAAATTCCTTTTCACCCTAAGTACTTTAGCATCTTTTGATTTTAAAATCTTGTGCGTGCATTTCTTTGCTAATATTACTTTGGGCATTGGCAATAATAATGATGGTAAAATTGACCATCATTAAATTTTTAAAACTTAAAATTTTAAGTTTTAATACAGGTAATTAACGATCACCCCCCTTCCTCACAGGGGGGATAGCCGCTTGGGTCGGACCTCTCAAGGAGATAGGGCTAGCAGTTACTGCAGCTCTGATGGTTTCTAAGATAATGTATTTCGCAGTCGGTAGCAAGTGAGAGGTAAACGTTTAATAAGCATTCCGACGGTGACCCAACCCAACTTTTTCCTGATTACACCCCAGTCCTTTCAGGGTCACAGCTCCTGGGACAAACGGCTTTTGGTCTCCGTCCAGAGCTAAGCAGCCGTCGGGGGGGGGGGGGGAGTCGGCGGCGCAGGCGCAGTCTCCACTCTGTCCCCTCCCCGAGCACCGCCCCCCCCCGCGCCCGCCCAGTCCGCCCAGGCGCGGGCCTCCGCGCTCCAGGCCCAGAAGTGCCTGCAGCCAGCGCGCTGGTGGGTCCGAAAAGCTGGTCGCAGCGGTCTCTGTGACCCTTCTGTTACTAGAGCTCCTGGAATCATGCATTGGTGGCCTGCTTTCCCCCCTGTCACCTCGAAATCGGCTTCACCAAATCCCCGATACTAACCGCTTCGGCCGCCGGACACGCGCACGACGGCTCGCGATGCTCGTGCACGCGCGAGCCGACGAGCATGCGCTTTGGAGGAGTCGCCGGAAGACTGCGTCGGTGACGCGGCCCGAGGCGCATGTGCCACAGGTGTCCGATGGGGCGGTCCGTCGTGCCAGGTCTCGTCACTCCGAGTTCCCTGACCGCTCTTAAGTGGCGTGACAAGTCGCCTCTAGCAGTTATACCATTGTTTGTCCTGTCTCCCGCTTTCTCATTTCTTCTTTGCACTTACTAACCGTTTGGTTCAGAATATACTTTACCTGCTTACTGTCTTCTCCAGAGTAAACTGAAGGGATTTGTGTTTACTGCTCTACCCTCCTCCATCCTTCCCAAGAATGCTGCCTGGCCTATGGCGGGCACTCAGAGAGTAAATACAGAGCCTTCCGTGTTAGCGAATGAGCTGGAAAAGACAACAATATCTAGCTTTCTTCGTAATATACAAATGAGAACACCAGGTCGTCCCTTAACTGGCTTTTTTTTGTGTCTTCCCGAGCTTCTGCAGCTTCTTTCCTGAGAGTAGGTTGCTCAAGAACGCTGTGAGAATAAGTGTTTGGGGAAATTGTCTCATTTTCATTGAAACCCTAACATTTAAAAATGTATGACAAATTTGTCTAATGCAGGAATGTAGTCAATTTGACTTTCACTGGTGGTGAAGTAAAATTGTATGCGTTTGCTAGGGTTGCCTAATAAAAATACCACAGACTGGGCAGCTTAAGCACAGAAATTACTTTTGCCACAGTTCTCAAGGCTGGAAACCTGCTATGAAGGTGTAGACTCATCACTGACGCCTTCTAAGGGCTCACTCCTTGATGTGGAGGCTGGGCACCCTGAGCCCCCAAACCTGCTCGCTCTAAAGGGTTCTGCCATCTGCCGCATCACAACAGAACATATATGACCTTTAGTGGAAAGGGATACCATTAGTATACAATACAGAAAAGACAAAGAATATAGTATCTAAATCAAACACCCAAAGTTACCCATCCTCTCATAGGTAAAAGTCCAACCAAAAGGGATTAGCCCAAAGCAAGGCCTCAAAGCCCAACACAAGCCTAAAGCACCTAGGATCCACAGAAAAGGGTCAGAAGTGGCCAGACTAGTCTGGGAGGAAAAGATCAAATTCAAAATCAAGATAAATCAAGAGACCCCAAGGGTCTCTCACCCATGTCTGTTTCACCAGGCCAGGGCCAAGAAGAAGCAAGCTCAGTTTCTGCACATCTCTCTGCTCCATGTGGCTTCCTGAGGTCACCTTCTGGCTCTCCATCCTGCTTCTTTCCCCTCAGTCTTCTCTCCAGATTCCTCACTTCTTTCCTCAGCTACCGTCCTTTGGGGCAAGGCAGGGAACCTGGTACCACCCTTTTTCCTGGGGACCACCCTGTTACATCTTCACATATTCCTTCCTTTGTGCCCACACACAGATAATCTGCCCAATTTTTTCTTGTAAATATACTGAGAATATTGGATTAGGGCCCACTCTAATGGCCTCATTTAACCTTAATCTCTTTAAAGGCCCTATCTCTGAATACATTCACACTCTTGAGGTACAGGGTGTTAGAACTTTACATATGAATTGGAGTGGGTTAGGCAGACATAATTGAGCTATAACATTGTTTTATGTGAATTCCTTACTCAGAGGAAAGGAATGACACTAGAAACTCCAGAAAACTGAAAATTAGTCCAAAGGAACCTTTAATAGCTAACAAATTGAACTTAGGATGTTTGTTGTTATTAACATGCAATTTCCTGAAAGAAAAAAAAAAACTTCATGGAAACCATTTAATGACTCAAAGTAACTGCTAACTTTTTCTTTCCATTGATCTCTTTAAACAACTTCAGAATTCTCTTCCCACAGATGTCTTTGGATTAATACCCCCCAATTTTGCCCAAGATGTAATTCACCAAAAAATAAAGTACCCCACACAGAAGGTTCTAAAGTGTTTTTATTAATTAGAATTGTGTCCAATTGTAACTCCTCCATCATATAAGATACAGTAACATTCACATGTCTGGTGTATATTAAAATAACTTAAATTCTAACATTGAACATAGAATAGTTTTATCTCCTACAGTAAAAAACAAAATCACTGATTTTATCCTGAAAAAATATATTCAGGCCACTATTTCACAATTTGGAAATCTGAGTAATCCAACTTTAAGATAACTTTTTCATTACTGAAGTTTGCTCTGTCGATGTGTGACTTGGGACTTCCTCTTGTCCTAAGCCAATCCTGCATATGACGCACTTTGGAGATGGGACCTTGCAACTGTCCTTGCACTGTCCCCTGTTCAGTGTTCTGGACCCAGCCTACCAATCCCAGCTTTTTACTCTCAGCCTAAAGAAAAGAAAGAAAAAAATAAATTCATTAAAGTTGAGCAAAACAAAGTAAGACTACATTTGTTGCCAGTGTCTTGGCCCTGAACCAAGCCACTGAAACTAATTTGATATTGTCTAGATCAAAACAGAAGAACACAAGGAGACTGTGTTGATCTTAACATGAATGTTGGCACTGCACTCCGTTTCCTCCTCCTACCCTATAAAACCAGGCACTAGAAATTTTCACTATATAGTCAATTTGATTTGTACGAAAGACCAAATTAGACACTTTCAAAATAATTCCCTAAGATGTTAACGATACTGGCTGTATCTTTTTCCATTCTCCTAATCAAGAATCTATTGGGTATATTAAATAGAAAAAGCATGAAATTCTCTGTCTTTAATCAGGGCCACACCTAAACAAATCCAGATGAATGAGTGTCCATTATATCTTTAAAGATCATTAGAGAGTATTTCACAATTTCCTGGGTAAGTTATTCCATTGTTCTCACTATAGAGAAACTAACTCAAGATCTTCAGCTTCCATTTAAAGCTCACTTTTCTGTCATCTCCTGGAGAAGGAAAAAGCAGCTTGTGATTAGTCTCTGAAACCAAAGTTTCATAAGACTACACAACTATTTGCTTTTCACTTTCTTTCCTTCTGCCTAAATAATCACAATAGCTTTAAAGTTGGATAAGCCTATAAAGACCAACTAATCATTGTATTGTTCTTTTCTTACTTAGTTTTTTTGTTTTTGATGTCCTTTCCTTTAAGCCGTTAAACTGTGGAAAGAATAAAAATTTGGGAAATGGGAACAATATTTTAGAGGCAACTTTACTTTAGGAATAATATGAAAGTTACTGATAATTAATGTTATCTAATCTAATAGGAGCATCAGATTACAAAAGAAAATGGGATTTAATATGATTGCATGTCCAAATGCCACAGCAGTGACTGACTAAATGTGGGAAGTTGTTAGAGTTGGCCAAAGAAAATATTCTGCGCAGCTAAACCACTTTTGATGAGGAAATGGAAGTATCCAAATCAGTTATGTTCAAAACAAGACACATCTGTAGACTGAATAAAAATGGTCAGACAAATACAGCTTCAGTAATACAGAAGAAACTAATAAAGAAAAACAGGAGATACCTACAATATGCATTAAATACTGAAAGTAGAGTCAGAAAAGAACACAGAGACTTGATATGGAAACCCCACACCCAACTGACTGTAAAACCACTGTACTGCTACAAATTAACTTAGAGTTGACCATCCATGGTTCTGTAGTGTTACCTTGTATGTTTAAGTAGCTATAAGAATAAATGTGTTGAGGGCCTCCCTGGTGGCCTAAGGGTTAAGTCACAGGGTTATCACCACTGCAGCCTTTGGCTCAGCTGACCTCTCCAGTCTCCACCACTGCTCCCCTCAGCAGCTGACCTCTCCAGTCTCCACCACTGCTCCCCTCAGCAGGTATTTCAGTAGATCTGTCTGTTCTGCTTCCCACTGTCTCTGGTGAATCACCTCTGGCCTACATCCCAGTGCTTCTACGCAAAAAAAGTAAATGTAATAAAAAAAAAATGTGCTAAGTTTTGAACAGGCGATTGTAATAGTCAAATAAGTCATTACATTGCAATTTATCTGAACTTCTAAAAGTGAATAACAATTTCTGAACTTGGAGTTAAGAATGGGGAGTGCCCACAGGTTGTGTGGGGGAGGTGAGAGTAGGTGCGCACATATGCGTGCATCGTATTCAATCTGTTCTTTTTTGTGTGTGTAATAGTTTATTTTTACATCATTGTGTGCATTTTCCCATCTCAGTTGCAATCCCCTTGGGTTTCCCATCACCAAATCACCCATGTGCCATCACCTTAGTCCAGTGCATTTTCCTCACCCACTGTTTTTGATCCCATTCCTGACTCCACCCCCACAAAATGTCTCTGGCATATAGCTGTTCATCATTATCGTTATTTTCTTGCCTGTTCCATTATACTCCTGCTATGAGAGAAACCATCTGGTATTTTTCCTTTTCTTTCTGGCTTATTTCACTAAGCATGATCTTTTCTAGTTCCATCCATGTTGCTACAAAAGACATGTTTTTCTTTTTCTTGGTTGCTGAGTAATATTCCACTGTGTATATGTATCACATCTTTTTTTTTTTTTTTTGTAAAGATTTATTTGTGCATATAGAACTGGGGTGCAGGCCAGAGGCTCAGGGGCAGTGAGAGGCTTCACCAGAGACAAAGTGGGGAGCAGAACAGGCAGATCGACGAAGTACACTGCTGAGGGGAGCAGTGGGCGGGTCAGGAGAGGTCTGCTGTGCCATGTGGTCACCTTCGGGGCAGGTGAGAATCTAACTCATGAGGAAGCGGCTTTAGATTCTCAGTGCTGTGCTTTAACCCGCTGCGCCACCAGGGAGGGCCTATGTATCACATCTTTTTAATCAGTCATCCACTTTTGGGCATTTGGGCTGATTCCATGTCTTTCCAATTGTGAATAAAACAGCAATAAACACAGGGGTGCAGATCTTTTTGAATCAGTGTTTTCGTGTCTTTTGGGTAGATACCTAGAGGAGTGGGATTGCAGGGTCATATGGAAGCTCCATTTGTAGCAGTTTGAGAAACCTCCACATAGCTTTCCATAGTGGTTGTACTAGTTTGCATTCCCACCAGCAGTGCAGGAGAGTTCCTTTTTCTCCATATCTTTGCCAACATTTGTTGCTGCTAGTTGTTTTAAGATGTGTCATCTTCACTGGGGTGAGGTGGTATCTCATTGTGGTTTTAATTTGCATCTCCTTTATTACAAGCAGTGTTGAACTTTTTTTTATATGCTCTGTTCTTATTTTTTAAAGATAGATTCTAATTGCTAACTCATATTCAGCTAAATAACTATTTATTCCCAAGCAAATTCTAAAAATCTAATTCTCCCCCATAAAGTTAGTTCTGTTGGTCATCTGGGACCAACTCTAGTCTCAAATCTAAAAAGAAAGTCCCCTCAACCATAACTTAGACCTCCACCTTAGGAAACTAGGGGAAAAAAAGAACAATCTAACTCAAAATAAGCAGAAAGAAGGAAGTAGTAAGTGTTAAAGCAGGAATTAATACAAAATAGAAAAAAAATCAATAAAACCAAGTTTACTCTTGTAAAAGATCAACAAAAAATTGTCAAATCTTTAGGTAGAATAATCAAGAAAAAAAGAGAAAGCTCAAAGAATCAGAAAAACCAGAAATGAAAAGTGAACATTTACTACCAACCTTACAAAAATTCTGTGAACAATTGGGTGCCAATAAATTAGAAAAGGGCAGATTACTAGAAAAACACAAAGTATAAAGACTGAAACAAAAAGAAATAGAAAATGTGAATGGACAAGCAGAGCAACTGAATTAGAAACCAAAAACTTTCCACAAAGGAAAACTGAGACTTCACAGTTGAATTCTACCAAATGTTTAAAGAATCCTTTAACAGTCCTTCAAAAACAGAGGAAATATTAATACTTCCCAAATCACTCTACTAAGTCAGTATTATCCTCATACCAAAAGCAGACAGAGAGATCACATGAAAACTATATGGGAATATAAGTGCAAGAATCCACAACAAAATACTAACAAGACAACAAAAGTATTATATATACCATGACAACCAGAGTTATCCAGGAATACAATTTTGGTTCAACATACAGAAATTAACATACCATTATATAACTACTCCATAATGATGAATAAAACCAGATTACCATCTTGATAGATGAAGAAAAATATTTTATAAAATACAAAATCTTTTTATGATAAAAACACTCCATAAACTAGAACACAGGGTATTTCTCAACTTGATAAAGGGCACTTCATATATAAAGTATGAAGAAGAATGAAAATATTTGCAAATAATTGAGGGAAAAAATTATTGACAAAAAAATTATTTCCAAGATTCACATTTGAAAAAATAGGAGGAAATAGATCAAGAAGAGAGGCAAACTGTAGAGCAAGGAGCTGTCTTTCCTAAAATGAAATGACAGAGAGGCACTACACTCCAAGGCAAAGCCAAATCCTCAAAAGTGGGCAGCAGGCTCAAGAGACCCACACACACGAGGAGGCCCATACTGTTCTACCCAATAATGAGAAGTGTCAACACTTACTGTTTACTGTGTGTGTGTTTTTTAAGCTATATGAGGTGCTTTATCTCTGTAGCCCTCTAGTGTGGGTATTCTCATACCAGTCTTACAAAAAACTTAGGGAAGCATCGGTTTGAGTCTTCACAGCTCATTAATGGCATCACTGGGACCTAAACCTAGGTCTATTTGACTATACAGCCCCCTCAGCATCATCCCTTATATGTCCTTTGACCCTTTCTTCCACCTTCCTCCTCCTTACTCAGGCTTGAGTTTTAAGTACAACTGTCCCAGGAATGTGACATTATGGCAAAGGTCTTCAATCTTAACTCATTATCTTTGGGGTTGGAGTTACACTGGGAAGGTTATTACCTCATAACTCTCCCCACTCTCAAAACCCCCTCCCTCACACCTGCACACAGAACAGAGGGAAACTGAGATTGCATTTGTATATACATGTTCAGGGAAGATTAGTAACACCGAGGAAGGGACAACGGCTCTCAGGAGTTTATTCATCCCCTTAACTACTCCCATGTCCAGTGTTCCCACTCTTTACCCTGCAATGGATATTTTCATTAGAAACCCTTCACCTGGAAAAGGTAATTGTTCTTTCAAAGCCAAAATGAGAATAAACCAATTAAGTGGGGGAATGGAGTAAGGTTAAAGTAGTAAGAGCATTCTAAAGAAAATGGCAGCAGTAGCAAATGAGAAAACTGTGGTCTATATACACAATGGAATAGTACTCAGCTATAAAAAAGAAAAGACTGGCACTTGCTATTTGCAACAACATGGAGAGGATAATCCAAGTGAAGTAAGTCGACAGGAACAAGATAAAAAACATGATTTCTCTCACATGTGGAATACAGAGAAACAAAACAAAGGGTCAGATAAAACCAAATCAATAACCCACCTTAGAAATCTGACTGGAAATGAATCTACAAGATGGGCAGGGAGGGGAAAGAGGGAAGGAGACATCATGGAGGACAGCAGAGGGCTGAGGATACTGGGGCAGCGGGTGTGGTGTGGGGAAATGCCAAATCAAGTATAAAGGAATGAAGGGAGGAGGCTGGAGAGGCTTTTGGATGTCATCCAGGGTTGCAGACCAATGTTACCTCAATAAAAAAAGAAAAGACAGTGGCAGCAGTGGAAGCAATGACATAAATTCCACAAATGTCATGAGTTCATATAAATGTCATCTCTTAGATCAATATTAGCCTTCCCACAGAGCTGAAACTTGATTTGGTGACAGCACAACAGACAACAAGGGGATATTCTCCACTGAGGAGAGAGCAGCTCATTAGTATGTGTCTAGGCAGCCAACCAGCACTGTTTGAAAAAACCAGTAAGAACAGAAGAGGAATCTTCCGTGTACCATGTCCCCATCACAAAGCATGTTAAACCCAGTGTTCTACAACTCACTCCTCTGCCATGCAGCTACAATAGCCAGCTTCTTCCAGTCAGGAGGGTGTCTCTAATTCCCACGCTCAGAACCCCGAAGCCTGGAGGGCCACATACCTGCGTGTACTTGCGGAAAAACACCCCTTGCACCTTCCCAAAAACTTCATAATCCACTGATATCAGGGTGTCCCCTTCTGCCATGCTCAAGCCTGTCAGAGACCAGGAAAGCAGAAAAGCAAAGGACTCGTTATCCGGCCCCAGGACCCCCAACCCAGGGACAGAAGGGTCACAGCCACACCTCTCCAACCTGACCCACCGCGACCCATCCCTGTCCTGAAGGCCCCCGGGCTGCAGAGTAAGGACGCAGGTAAGCGCCAGCGCGGGTGTGTGGTGTAACAGGCGGACCTGGGCCTCTCAGGGCGGCCATTACCTGCTAACCCCATCACCGCCCTACTCCCATCCATCGCAGGCCCCACTCTCTCCAGTCCTTCATCCTCCCGCGGCCCTGACTTCCAGGGGCTGCCAGGATCCCCTTCCTCTAACATCTTAGGGCTAACAGAACCGATATGCACGCCGCGGGGCCCGTCCTGGCTCACCTTCCTCTTCAGCGTCCCGGGTCCCGCCCGCGACCACCCGGCCAACCGCTCCCCAGCAACGTAACCTTCGCGCCCCGAGCTCAGAGTGCAGCTCCTCTTTCGCTGGCTCTCCTGCCAATCACCTCACTGACCAATAAGAGACCTCGGCTCGGCCCAAAGCCCGCCTAGAGGGTGGGGTTGCGGGAGTAGGTGATCTGCAAGACTCCGCGGGCCTGTTTTGGGGTACAGGGCTCTGGGTTCCCAGAAGGAGCCCTCACCCCACATCAGCTACTAGCGGCATCCTTTTCTTCATTTTCTCACGGGGAGAAAGAGGAAGGAGTACTTGAGATAAATTCAATTATTCAATAAATCTTCACCCAGAGGCTTCTGTCTGCCAAGCACCGTTTTAGGGAGTTAGCACACATTAAGGGCCCTGGCTTGAGGACCTTAAATTATGGAGGTGGGAGCCAATAAACATTAAATCTCATAAATAAATAAATTGATTGGGACACCTACAATTGTTCTGCCCTGAACTTTTCTTTCAGTTCTGTTCAAATTCTGGGTCATGCCCAAGTTTGAAACCGATAGCAGGAAGATAAGTATATAGGAGTTCCCATTAGAGTTACTTCTTCTGTGTGTTGATAAGTTGCTCAAGAGAGTAAACCTTAAAGTTCCAAATAATACTTGTATGTCTATGTCAGTCAGTAGCAAGCAAAATAACCCATGAACCCAGAATTACAGATGAATCAGTTTTATCTAAGCAAAATGACCTAATTGTATGATTTTTCTAAGAAATGTCAGGAGGGGCTGTGGGTAATATTTGTTAAAAATAGGGTTGACTTGCCCAAATGCCCAACAAAAGTAGATGACTGGATTAAAAAGATGTGGTACATATACACAGTGGAATATTACTCAGCAACCAAAAAAAGAAACATGTCTTTTGCAGCAACTTGGATGGAGCTGGAAAAGATCATGCTTAGTGAGATAAGCCAGAAAGAAAAAGAAATATACTGGATGGTTTCACTCATAGCAGGAGTATAAATGGACCAGGCGAGAAAATAAGAATAATGAACAGCCACACACCAGAGACATTTTGTGGGGGTGGAGTGGGGAATGGGATCAAAACGGTGGGGGGAGGGAAATGCACTGGACTATGGTGATGGCACATGAGTGATTTGGTAATGGGAAACCCACGGAAATTACAATTGAGATTGAAAAAAAAATGTACAAAATGATGTAAAAATAAATTATTATATTAGGAAAAAAAAGGGCATTTGAACCCCAAGTACCCTTATAATTAAGAATATGTATGAAAGAAAGAAAGTTGTGGGGTTTAAATTCCTCCTTGATTGCTTAAATATATATAACACCCCTTCACAACATAAGACACCATAACACTGGCAGACTTAGCAAGGTGAGATATTTGCAATAGATCCAGACCCTGAGGAATCATAGACCCTTAGTGCTGGGGTAGGGGCGGGGAGCTAGATTGAATGTTGTGCTTGACAATATTTGAAAACAATGATAGAGTACCTGGAAGATATTTCTCTCTCTCAAACTAAGTTTAAACCCATTTCTCTATAGAATTAAAAATTGATTGTATATCTAGTATATATGGGACACTATAGGATATGCAAGTGTTAAAATTATTTGTCCTTAAAGAATGCTTAAGGTAAGGGACACATTTGTATGCAAATAACGACAATACAATGTACCACATGGAAATTTGCATGAACATCTATTGAGAGCTCATCATAAACCAGCTTTGTACTATACCAGGGATGGAAAATTATGAGCACACAAAGGAACAAAAAGATACATTACGACTGGGAAGACTGGAAAAGCACTCTGGAAGAAAAGCATTTCATTCAACCAGAAAGAGCTGGAATTGGGATTTAGATCCAGGTAGTTCAAGTGAGGAAGCCACTTCCATAAATGTTGTTTTACTACCTCCGGGTATGTGGAGTTGGGGTAAAGGTAACACCAGTGAGGTAAGAAGGTGCAAGTAATCAGCTATGGCTATACCAGGGGTTCTTAACCTTGGCTACACACTAAGACTTTGGGAGAAGCTTTCAAAAATGCCAACACTGGGCCCACCCTGGTGGCGCCATGGGTTAGGACGCAGCACTGGAAGTGACCTGCAGCCGCCTCAGTGCAAGTTCAATCCCCGGCCCCAGAGGTGACCCACATGGTGCGGCAGACCTCTCCTGACCTGCCTGCTGCTCCCCTCAGCAGTGTATTTCCTCAGTCTGTTCTGCTCTCCACTCTGTCTGTGGTGATGCCTCTCACCACCCCTGCACCTCTGTCCCATACCCCAGTTCTGTATACATGAATAAATAAATCTTAAAAAAAAAAATACCAACGCCCAGATGTAACTTTCCAGGCGTAAGGTGTAGTCAGAGTCTAAATCTGCTGGGTTAGGTGCTGAGGAGGCAGGCCTGGAAAGGTAGCTTTGACGTAATCTGTCAGATTGAAATACCATGATAAACCATGTTTCAACTATAAATAAGAATCCATTGGGTAGGAAAATGATACATCAGAAGTCATGTATAATTCGTCAGGCACCAGATACTGGAAAACAAGAACAGAAGCTAGAAGTGATGCCATCCTCCAAAGAAGCGAGGAACTCACATAGAGCAGTAGAGAGATTAAGGAAGGTTCATATATGAGAGATATTGCAGAAGTAAATTCAACAGTCTGCTCAGCACGTAGAGGGGAGGGTCAACAAACAGGGAGGAGAGGAAGATGACGATCCTTTGAGAGAGCATAAGCAGAAACACTGGAGAAGTGGACTGGGGAATGGGAGATGATTATGAATTTGGTTTCTGTCCTACAGAGTTTGAGGTTTCTAAGGAACATTTATGGGTAAGTATTAAATGGGCAGTTGGAAATTTGAGCCTGTAACTAAGGAGAGAGAACTAAACATGATATCATTTAAACATAGGTGAGACACCTGAAATCTCAGCATTTATTTGGTTGAAATCATTAAGGAAAAGAAAAGAAGAAAGTCTGGAAACACACATGTATGAAATGAGAAAGACCTTGAAGCTTTTGTCTTTGTCTTTGGAAAGTCACTGATAGTCTTGCAGTTAAATAAGGTAGAAAAGATGAAAGTCAGACCACAATGGGCTGAGCAATGAGGGGGAGGTGTTGAAGTGGGGTAGCCAATGTACATCGTTTTCTTGTTAAGAACTATTATAGAGAAGTGGGACTAACATGACAGGGGCCACACAGGATAAGGGAAGTTAAGATTTGTTTTGCAGGGGAAAGTTAAACAAAGCTTAAAACCCAAGAGGAGTATGTGGGTAGATAGCACTGGAAGTTGACAAACTGGAGGAGTTAAGGGATAGTCAGTTCTGGAAGGTATGAGAGGACTAATGAGAGAGGGGTGGGTGGGCTTCTGAGGTTGATGACAGGGAGGCCCAGTGCTGAGATTAATTAGGATCTTGAGAAGCTGGACATGTCTGGAACTGCATGGATCGAGAAGTCAGCTAGGCAAGGAAGAAAAGGACAGCCTTGGAGGGCCTAAGGAGGAGTTTCTTCATAATATGTAAAAGCTGTAATATGACATGTTGAGGTATTACCACTGACTACAGCTGTCTATATTATTTTCCATGTGCATAAATCTTTTGAGTAATTACAGGAAAAATGTAAGCTGACTGGTCCAAACAGTTTACACAAATGAACTGAAGCATGAAGACAAACTCTCTTCTGATGTTAACAAGTTATAGAGTATCATTCAATGTTGAAACCAGGTTATCCTGATTATTTTTGACCTGTTAGTTAACTATGTTATTACATTTGGCTGAGTCACCCATGGGCCCTAAGTAGAAGTGCCAGATTAAAACATGATGTCAAAAAAACTAGGTCGTCTACAAAACTACACCGTAAAAGATACTCAGTAGCAAAACCTAGCCCAGTTGCTAACATTTGACAGCAAGCACCAAACTATTGGCGAGGAAAAGTGCGGAAAGGCAGCCATACCTGAGGCCTGTACAAAGCAGCCGAGCGTGCTAACCAAGGCTATCAGCAGACCCACTTCCGTAAAGTGAGCAGACATCGGAATTCCACCGCAGAGTGACTTGAGGGCATGCTTACGGGACTCAGTCCTTTGCCAGAGGACACACCCAGGACACAGGAGCAACGTTCTCAAAGTACAGGTTCTTTGACGAGCCCCAGAGAAGCCTCTCCTGCCCCTCCCGCGTTCCCCAAGTGCAGGGCTGGGCCGAGCTACAGAGTTGGCTGGCCAAGTGACACTCTGGCTGACAGCACACCCCTTTCCGGGCCAGGTCCTGGGATCGCGTGCGGACTGCGCCTGCGCCACTCCCCACCCTGGGCTGGGTCCGCCGGGAGTGGGCGTTCGCGGCGAGGGGCGGGGCTGGGTGCTCGTCTCCAGGCAACGGCAATAACAGAGGCCTGCTGAGGCGCCTGCGCAGGAGTCGGTTGGGTGGGTGGTCGGGAAATCTAAGTCCTGGGGTGTCCTCTGAGCAAGAGCCGTCCCCGAGAGCCTCAGGTACGCGGCAGGGTGGGACACAGGGAAACACGGCACCCTCAGCCTCCTATAGATCCGGTGGACAGGCGAAGGAGAGGTTGTCCCCAAAAGGAAGTTTTCCGTGGGGACGCCAGGATTGACTCTCCAGGACAGAGCTTCATTTCTGAGTTCCGAATTTAAACCTGCAGGGCTAGGTCAGGTGGACTCCAGCTCTCAGAGGAAAGACCTTCTGCCCTCTGCACCCGGATAGGTGGGGAGACTCGTAGGTTGGAATTTTAATCACAAGACAGGTGTCCAGCAGGCCCTGGGCGGCCTCTGTGATCTTGGGGTCAGTGGGAGGAAAACCCCGAGAGCTATTTATGCCAACTACCTGTAAAATGTTGTTGGCACAGAGCGGGTCACTCAGCCTAAGCTCCCTGAGTTCCAGTTCAGGTCAGGAGAAGAAATGAGCCAGCCAGGGGAAGTTGCCTGACTTTCAATCCAGCAGCTCATCCCACTGTCTATAGAGGACACTGTACTGCGGCAGGGGCAGTTCCTATGTGTGACAGACGCTGGCCACAGGGACACTAGTATCCTGTTCATTTTTCATTCTCAGGACCTAACACAGTGCTTGGCACACAGTAAGCACCCACCAAATGCTGACTGAAAGAAAGCTCTGACAGACCCCGCACCACTGTCTCTAGAACAATTTAGGGAGAAATGTGCATAGGAAAAATGTTAGTCTACTTTCGCAGTGGAAGTGAACCCCAAACTTCTCACAGGTGTCTGATTCACATCTCTCCTAGGTCTCAGTCAGGCCCCTGAATGGCTGGTCTCCAGTGGGCGCCACCTCTGCCTATGGCTGTTATGCTCCCATATAATAAAGCAGAAGCCCCGGGGCTCCACTCCATCAAACAAGACCTCTATGAACGAGGTGACCCTTCTCAGAGGTCCTCAGTGGTACGCCTAAGGGACAGTTACCAGAAGCGGCTTTTGAGCAACAAAGAACTAACACAGGACCATCTCTATACTCACCCCAAAAGGAATGCCTGCAGCAAAGTCCGGAGCTGTGCCTATCCCCACTGTACTGAAATCAGCCAACAAGATTCAGGAAGCAGCCCCCAGAGACAAGTGAAGGGTTCGTTTTACTCATCCAGCCCTCAATCCTGGTATCCTGAAACAAATAACCAGGACTTCATCCCCTTCACTAAAAGGAGAGTGGGGGTCGACCGGGCATACCCACTGAAACCTGTGTTCCATCGGAAGCCTCGTAGTATATGTGAAGCTGGCATTTTGGGGGACCAAAATGTCTCCTCAAAACTTGCTGATCCAAGAGAGTTTTCATCCAGCAGCTTTGGCTCAAGGAACTGGACAAATGCACCCATGGTCAGTTCTGTTCTTGCTGCCTCCGACGAGACTGCCATGGCAAACTACCACAGGGCCGAGTGGGTGCGAATCCAAAGACTAGAGGCTGCAGGGGAGAGCCTAGAGGAGGAAATCCGAAGGAAAGAGACCCTCCTGAAAGAAAAGCTGAAGAAGACAGAGGAGGAGCTCAGAAGGATCCAGAGGGAAAAAGAACAGGCTGAGGGAAATGAGAAAAGAGAGCTACAGAGAGTGACACTCCCCAGGAGGAGGGTTAAAGGGAATAGCAATGCCACACACAGACCTGTCTTCTCCCCAGAACCTGGGTCTGAGGAGGTACACAGCAGACACAGGGGAGAGGATAAAACTTGGAGACAATCTCAGGAAAACTCTAGCCCACCCCAGTTCTCTGATTTTGGAATACAGAGGCTCAAAAGGGAAAGACTGGTGGCAAGCAATAACAAAATCCATGACCTGGTCTCTGGGCCACTGACGGAGAAGACTTCTCAGCCTCCAGAAGTTCCAGGCAGTGCCTTGCAGGCATCCACCAGCAATTCTAGCTTGTCCAGACCACCCAATTCCTCAGGTTCCAGCTGTTCCACTGAAGAGCCAGAGCTGGGCGCGTGCGGCCATTGTGGACGCAAGTTTCTCTTGGTCAGGCTGGAGAAACACTCCAATGTCTGCAGCAGGATGCAGGGTTCCAAGAGGAAAGTGTTTGATTCCTCCAGGGCCCGGGCCAAAGGCACAGAACTAGAGCAGTACTTGAATTGGAAAGAGTCGGCCTCCGTCAAGGTAACCAGGGCCTGATGGATTTGACTTTGAGTCAGGGTCACTGTTAAGAGCCTGTTAAACCCACATCAATTTTCTTTAGAAAAAAATTTCTTGTAGTAGATAAGGAGAGAGAATCCACATTGACTGCTATTAGCAGTCATAGTGACAGGCTTTTCATGTGATCGTCACCACACCCTGTGGAGGTTTTATTATCTCTGATTCTAACAGTTCCAAAATCAAGTTTCGTGAGGTTAAGTAACGTGCATGAAATCAGTTTGAAATATCAGATATAGTGTTTAAATCTGAATCAGAATGACTCCAAAATCTAGACATAAAATATGTTCTCTTAATTATAAAATATTTACTTTAGAAAATGTAAAAGACATGAAAAATATAAAGAAAATTCTGCAGTAATTCATTCCCCAAGAGAATTTTTGTAATATACTCTGCCACCTCCCCAAAGTAGCATGTTACTACTCTTATAATTGTATCTCCTTTTTAAAAGAGTAGCCCACTTTGGATATACCTTCTTAGTAAACACATGAAACACAACTGGGTTTGGAATTCTTTTTCTATCCGTTTAGAATGTAACCATCTCAAAGGTAAAGAACTTTATTTTTGGTTATCTCTCTAAAACTTCTAGTTGCAGGAAAACTAGATTGCAAAAAGCAAGGACCTTAATAAGACCCACAACAAGTTTCAAAGGCACATCTGGAGTGTGAGATCAGAAGATAGTCTTATAAATACGTTTCCCACTCTGTCAACTTTACTGCTTGGATTTAAAGTGTTTCTCAGTGTGCCTTGCTGACAAGGCATGCTACAATTAGCAATTGTAGTGTATATTAGAAAAATATGGGCCCTCCCTGGTAGCGCAATGGGTTAAAGCACAGCACTGCAAGCTAGCTACAGCCACTTCAGTGCAAGTTCAATCCCTGGCCCAGGAAGTGATCCAAACGGCGCTGGTCGACCTCTCCTGACCCTCCCGCTGCTCCCCTCAGCAGTGTACTTCATCAGTCTGCCTGTTCTGCTCCCCACTCTGTCTCTGCTGAATCCTCTCTCTCCCACCCCTGCAACTCTGGTCTACACCCCAGTTCTTGTATGCATAAATAAATAAATCTTTAAAGAAGAAAAAGAAAAATATGGCCACATAGTAAACCCTTAATTTCCAGCAATTATGAATGTGAGGAAAAACAGTACATAATTAATAGTAAGGGGTATCAAGTGAAAGTGGTAAGAAAATCCTTCAAAGTCTGAGAAAGCCTAGATCACATGAATTTACAAGTCCCACCCATTCTAACATTCTAGCAAAATAGAAGCACGTCATTCTGTGATCATTTCTTTGCAACTCTCCCTCTCCTACACCATACTATCTCTTGTCTGTGCCCACTAAGTTTACATGCATGTGTACGGGGCCATTTATCTGATGGCTGTTAATAGTTTTTTTGCATTAAGATTTTTTTTAGTATAATTTGGATGATTACCATAAGAAAATTCCTTCTGTTTTCAGAGATAAGCCCTGAAACTGCTTTCCAATCAGAATTCCAACATTTTGCTCTTGTAGATAATGGTATGACCACCAGTTCCTGTTCTTTCCTGTTTTATTTCTGGTCAACCCAACAATCCACTGGAGTGTTGTCTCATCGAAGCAGTTTACTTCTGACCAGAACCTTAAACACCTTATATTTCTTAAATTTTTGTATGTGGTTGTAGTAAAGCAAAAGAATTGGGTTTCTGAGGTCAGATACCTTGGAAATTAATTTGGGGAATTAACCTGGGAAATTAATTTTGGGAATGTGTTGCTTTGAGCACCAATGCAGAAAGGAACATGAGATGAGCCCCCATCCTTGGAAATGTCCCAAGTCTTATTTCCAAGCTTTGTACCTCAGGAGGATGGGTGGTGTGAGTCTCTGTCACTCCTCCAGTGTACTCACACAGGTATCTATTTTTAAAGATTTATTTATTTATGCATACAGAACTGGGGTACAGGACAGAGATGTGGGGGTGGTGGTGAAAGAATTCACCAGAGACAGAGCGGGGAGCAGAATAGGCAGATTGAGGAAGTGCATTGCTGATGGGAGCAGTGGGCGAGACAGTATAGGTCAGCGGCACCATGTGAGTCACCTCTGGGGCTGGGGATCGAACTCCACTTAAGTAGCTGCTGCTAACTTGCAATGCTGTGTCCTAATCCATTGTTCCATCAGGGAGGGCCTATGTATCTTTTAACCTTCATGCACTGCAGACTCTTACTCACATCCCTCTACTTAAGCACTTGAGCACAGAGACCACATCTTTGTGCTTTCTGGTTAATAAATGCTAAGTGGATAAAATTTCAACACAATGAAGGAATAAAATGTACATGTCCTATGGTCAAGGAATTTTCCCTTAATTTTTTTGTTTCCTGGATACCAAATCTAATACTGATGATCTTGCCTTCATGTCTGGTTTAGTAAGAGACTTTCCTGACAGCTCCCTGTTTTGATAGCATCTCTTCCTGTTATTCCTTAAAAATCACAGCTCACCAACTAGGTACTTGTCTCCTTTCTTTTTTATCTACTTTAAAAAAAAATTTTTTAGAAAGATTTATTTATGTATACAAGAACTGGGGTACAGGCCAGAGATATAAGGGCAGTGGGAGGATTCATCAGAGACAGAGTGTGGAGCAGAACAGGTGGACTGGTGAAGTACACTGCTGAGGGGAGCAGAGGGCGGGTCAGGAGAGGTCTGCTGCACCATGTGGGTCACTTCCTTGGCCGGGGGTCAAACTTAGGCTGAAGTGGCTGTGGAAAACTTCACAGTGCTGTGCTTTAACCCCTTGTGCCACCAGGGAGGGCCCTCTTTTATCTTTTCTTTTGAAAATTAACTTTTTAAAAAATTTTATAATAGTTTATTTTTACATATTTTGGTGCATTTTTCCATCTCAGTTGCAATCCCCTTGGAATTCCCATCACCAAATCACCCGTATGCCATCACCATAGTCCAGTGCATTTCCCTCCCCCCACTGTTTTTGATCCCATTCCCCACTCCACCCCCACAAAATCTCTGGTATATAACTGTTCATCATTATCATTATTTTCTCTCCTGTTCCGTTATAGTCCTGCTATGAGAGAAACCATCTGGTATTTGAAAATTAACTTTTAAAAGTAAATAATTTTGATAACGTCTTAAAAACTGTAGGATGCTCTGTACTGCAGATCAGCAGTGTCCCGCCCCATCCTCTGCAGCCCTCACTTTTCCCTGAGGCATCCCTCAATTCTCACCTCAGGGCTATCGGCTATCTAGCTCCGTATTTCTAAATAAGAGACCTATTTTCTTGATTTATCAATTTTGCACACTATATATTGACTTCTTCTTGTAGACACTGTGGGTTGAGGTCTTTTTCATATCCCTTCTCCTCCCGTTGTTCTCTAATCCTTTTGTTGGAGAGGAATCATAATTTTGGGTTAAATCAGTAATCAGCTTTAGCATTTTAATGACCATGTCAATTTTGTTCTCTGATGACTGAACAAATTCTGTTCCTGCTCAATGCACTTGGAGTTAATAAGTGACTCAAGTTTTCCTTTGTTTGATTTCCTACATTCCTGTCTCTAATTCCCCACCATTCCTGCCTGTACCCCGAGGCTCATGTCTGACACCTGTTACTGTATTTTTGTAAGTGCTCAAGCACCTCTTATAATCTATCCGTCTCACATCTTTACTCTGGAATCCGGCCTTCACTGATCTTTTCCCTCCTGCTCCAGTCTGGACTTCTTGTTCTCAGCGGGCGCAGACCCATTGACCTGGGATTTCTCTTTACACTCTTCTGTGTTGAGTTGCTTGTTCTTGACCTGCTGTCTCTCCCTTTTTCTGGCTTTACCCCTTTCCCTTGCTTTCCTGGACTTTACTAAGAAAAGTACATGGGATGTACTTTATATTGGGATGAATGAAAATATATACAGCATATTTGATTAATGATTGGGCCAGATATAGAATTCTAGGTGGAAAGGATTTTGTTGGAACTTTTAAGATTTATTTATTTATGCATACAGAATTGGGATACAGACCAGAGGTGCAGGAGGGAGAGAGGATTCACCAGAGACAGAGAAGGGAGCAGAACAGGCAGATCTACCAAAATACACTGCTGAGGTGAGCAGTGGGCGCACGTGGGTCAGCTCCCTGGCGGGGGATCGAACTCTTGTTGTAGTGGCTGCCAATAGCTTCACAGTGCTTCATCCTAACCTGTTGTACCACCAGGGAGGACCCTTTGTTGGAACTTTTTTTTTTTAAGATTTATTTATTTGTGCATACAGAACTGGGGTACAGGCCAGAGGCTCAGGGGTGGTGAGAGGCTTCACCAGAGACAGAGTGGGGAGCAGAACAGGCAGATCGACGAAGTACACTGCTGAGGGGAGCAGCAGGCGGGCCAGGAGAGGTTTACCGCGCCATGTGGTCACCTCCGGGGCAGGCAGGAATTAAACTCATGCCGAAGAGGCTTTAGATTTTCAGTGCTACAGGCCAGAGGCTCAGGGGCAGTGAGAGGCTTCACCAGAGACAGAGTGGGGTAAAGAACAGGCAGATCGACGAAGTACACTGCTGAGGGGAGCAGCGGGCGGGCCAGGAGAGGTCTGCCTCTCCATGTGGTCACCTCCGGGGCAGGCGGGAATCGAACTCATGCAGAAGCGGCTTTAGATTCTCAATGCTGTGCTTTAACCCGCTGCACCACCAGGGAGGGCCCCACTAACATTTTTTTTGATTTTGGCTGTTATTAGATAAAACCTGTATTTCCCCTCCTAGAAGCATACAGTATTCTCTTTTGAAATTCTGAAATTTTGTAATGATTGTGTAGCATACTTAGTAGGCCATTTTAATCACAAAGAGTAGTGACCTTTAATTGTGTGATCGTTTATTGTATTGTTTATTTCCTTCTCATGCTTTCTTTTCATCTTGGCACACCAGTTGATCAGGTGTTGGGCTTCCAGGGTTGACTTTCTAATTTTTTTTTTTTAAAGATTTATTTATTTATGCACACAGAACTGGGGTACAGGCCAGAGGTGCAGAGGCGGTGAGAGTGAACCAGAGACAGAGTGGGGAGCAGAACAGGCAGACTGACGAAGTACACTGCTGAGGGGAGCAGCGGGCGGGTCAGGAGAGGTCTGCCTGGCCATGTGGTCACCTCCGGGGCAGGCGGGAATTGAACTCATGTGGAAGTGGCTTAAGCTTCTTAGCGCTGTGCTTCAACCCACTGCGCCACCAGGGAGGGCCCTGATCTAAAGGGTTTTTATTGGAAAAAGTTTTCTTCTGCAACCAGCCTTATTGCTGCCTCCAGACTGTGCAGCGTGTATGTTCCTGGGCTTGTGTAGGTTCCCACCTTGTTAGTTTTACTCAAATATCTGAGAAACTTGGCTGTCCATTCATATTTAAGCTTGTGTGGGGCTTGCTCACTAGGAGTTATCAAAGAATGAGCCTTCCAGTGGGGTCCCCCAGAGGCAGATCCTGCTGGCTTTCTTCTACCTGGCAGAGCATCCAGAGAACCCTCCAGTCTCCTAAGAAGGTGCCAGCGAGTACTCGGTACTCCGGAGCTGACTCGGGGAAGAAGGCTGTCAGGTCCACACTTCATCATGTTCACTTGCAATTAATCCCCATTTCTAGCTGAGATTAACCATGTTTCTCCACTGTATTTGGGTTTCCTGAGTCGGAAACATGTCAATTTTTGCAGAGAATGAGCCCCTGTTCTCCTGCGAGGGTGCAGGAAGGGTTGGACCATCCTCACTCTGGCACTTCCAAGCCCTGAGCCTCTTCCTGATTTCTGCTGGAGAGAAGTTCACTGTTCAGCATTATCCCCTTTGCTGGCCCTTTGTGTAAGCGCCTCCACTCTGGCCAGGCAGTCGTCACTGTTCCTTTCCTGCTCTTTTGAGCTTGTGGACTAACGCCCTTTTTATTTCCTGACACTAGAGTGGAGACTCAGGAGGAGCGGAGAGAAATGCCAAGACGAATGACCAGTTTCCTTCTACTTACAGGCTGAAGTCCCTCCAAAGAGCAACTGGAGACAGAAGCATGAATCTTTCATCCGCACCCTCCGTCGGGCGCGGGAGGTCCAGCAGATAATTGCCAAAGGGGGAAACCCCGCTGACTTGCCTCCTATCCTGTCCACAGAAAATCCAGACTATATTCAGTGTCCTCACTGCAGCCGCTACTTTGCTCCCAAGGTGGCGGAGCGGCACATTCCCAAGTGTAAAACCATCAAGAACCGCCCCCCACCTCCAAGGAAGCATTACAGTTGAGCCAAAAAGAGTGGCAACTTCCTTGATGGTTTGGAAGGCTGTTTCAAGCAGCATACTGGAAAACAATGTGATGCAAAGCAGAATGAACTGAAAATTTCCCAGTTCCCAGATCTGCCTGCAGAGCTGGAATCTATGAGGAGACCCACTGCTAAGCAGCAGGAGGCAGCAAACAGCCTTAGCCCCCCACCAGACACCCCTCAGGCTGGTGTGCCTGTTACTGACCCAACAACTGACTTCAACACAGTGAGCAGGCTACATTAAATTCTCCTCACAAATCCTTCCTGGGGTTGTGCGAGTGCCTGCATGTGGGGTGCCTGCTTGCCACTGCTTCTGCAATGTGTGGCTGTGGTTCCTGTTAGCTCTTCTTGCTCTTGCAAGAAACTGGCTCATGACCGTTCTGCTGTCAGAGGACCATAGTCACCTAGTTGGCATCTCTTACAAGTGATGAGATTTTTGCTGGAAGCAAGTTCAAGTCCTTGACCTCCCATTGCATGGTCCTGTTCAAAAGCCAGTAAACATAACAGAAGCGGGGCACCAGGGTACTCTTAAAACCTCCCTGTGGTGTGCTGTATAACAGAGGGAGCCGCCGCCTCACGCAGCTGACAGGATGGGGTGGGGGAATGCACACTGTACGTCTCTGCATTTGTTCTTTTCTAATTGATTGCATATGTTTAAAAAAAAATTCAGCTATTACTAGCGCTCTTTCAAATGTTGGTTGGTTGGATGGCTTTTTGAAATGAAGCAGCAACATCTACCATCAAACTGGGATATTGCCGTGTTGGGTGTCCCTGCTGCTTACACAAACACAGTAAACTTCTGTTTTAGAAAGTAAACTAAAGGGATGGGCCCAGATCTTTTACTTTTCCATGCAGAATCATGCCTGGTACAAGCCATGTCTGTCATGAGGCCCTCAGTACATGTGTTTCAGGAATTTAAAACAAAAGGAATGAGTTCTAGACTTGTCAGGTGGGAGAAGTAACATCTGGTGGGGGTGGTATCAGTTCAGGCGGCATGAAGTAGCCTAACTGATCTGAAATACTTGGAGGATTATCCCCCATGGGCATCCAGTTGTTAGTTTAAAATACTGGAGGGAAATCATCCATGTTGATCTGGGCTACAGTGCCCAGGTAGTCAACACATCAATGTACTACTAGGCAATAAATACCTGCTCACTCATTCCATCTCTCCTGTGGCTTGTCAGAGTGGGGGGCTCAGAAGTCAGACCAACTTGCAAAGAGTTTAGCTGTGAAGCTGAAAGACACTAGGCTGGGAAAAAAATGATTATTTAAGAAACAGTATATAATGAATTGCTTTATAGTCTCCTGACAGCGCAAAGGAAAATATTATCACATAGAGCATTTCTTGGTTGTCATTCAAAAAAAAGAACCTCACAGACACTGGATATTTAACACAATGCGTACATTCCCCAGCCAAGTTTACTGAGGCACATACTTTAAGTTTCACATCACAGTAAAAGCAAACTACCAAGCAAAGGGAAGAATGAGCTGAGGCTGCGAAGTGGTAGCACCCGTGGAGTGCTTTGCCCCACGGCCGTTTGATTTGGCTGGCACAGTATTAAAAATAATTTAAAAACTTTGGTTATGGAGCACCTCATGACAAAACAGAAGTTCTAGAATTACTGGGCCAGCAACTGTGCACAGCACCAGTTTAATGGGGTTCAGGGCCAGAGCTCCTTCAGAGCACCCCACTTGCGCCACAGCCCTATCTGGCCTGGCCCCACAGTCACTTGGGTTTATGATCCTGATGTAAAATCACAGGGAGAACAAGTGTGTGCACAGGAAGAAGCTATTCATTCTTTGGCTGCTAGAAAAATGATGTTAGTGGCCCAGTGTTCCCTGCAGTCTTGATGTGTTAGGCCTTGACTATGCTGGGATGTCTATTAGGTCTTTTCAATGTAGCATGATCTGATCTTTGGGGAAAGAGAAGAACCCTTTTTCTACCTCTCTCCCTGGGCAGCAGAGGGCGATTAAAATACTTGCTGCTTGTTCATGTCCATGTGTTACACTACTTTAACCAAAAAACTTCAGTGCAAGTAAATGATCTAAAATTTAAAGTTCCGAAGGTTAAACAACTAGAAATATATCATGGCAAAACAGACCTGGGAGACTCTCTTCCTTTAAAAAGTGTAGGCAGATGTGGCCAGACAGCATTTCTTGCCAGCCCTACGGTGAACATAGCACTGCCCCTCCCAGACAGCATTTGCCTCTGGCGACCGACTTAGCCTTCTTCACCACTGCAGGGAGGTAGCAGCAATGGGATAACGTGTTTTTCTCCCTAATGGTCACGATTCCGTGGGTTCAGTGATCAGGACATTTATTTTCAGTTAATCATTGAAGCAATAAATGATTTAGGTTTGGCAACAAGGAGGAACATGTTTTACAGGCCTGACTACACGCCCTGCACCCTGACACCATCATGAATAATACTTCTTTGGAGGCCCAGGGATACTCATTTGAATGAATTTAATTATAATACATCCTCACTCCAGAGTTATCCTTTGTATTATGAATGTTTCTAACTATATGGCAAACCAGATGAAAGGTGAGGTTAAGGCTGCTTTTGCTTTCAACTAAATGCTTAGCTAAGAGAAGTTCTGACTTGGCTGTCACACAGTTCAACCTCTTTTAGGGAAAACAGTTTTCTAGATATCAACTGGCATTATCACTTGAAAAGGCCCATTGAGATGAGGAGATAAACACAAGAAGGAATCCTTTCTTTCTTAATGACTCAATTTTTCTCCCTCTGTATTTTAAGCACAGTATTTTAAATGCTTTTTTTTTTTTTTTGGTGTGTGTGTGTGGGGGGGAAGGTAGCAGCAGAAACAATCCTGTTAGCAAGAAATCAGAAAAAGCTGACTATGTCTGTGCAAATGCCTCGTGTTGTTTCTGTTACTAGGCCATTTGTTTGTTTATGTACAGACTCCTTGAATCAAAGACCCACAAAGACCTAGAATTGCATGTTTTATCCCCAGTCACCAAGGCCCATGCGTAGGCTTACTGAGGCACAGCGCTTGATCACAACTTTAAATGTTTATTTAAAACAGAAATGCCAAACCACTCCACCCTCAACCTTTCAAACATCTGGCTAACAATAAACTAGTTACGCAGCAACAATGTCAGAGCAGAGGAGTAATTCAGGTTATACTATAACTCAAAAGCAATACTACTGGAAAACTTAAACCACCTAGCACTGCATAAAGAAGGACAAAATTTAAGGGAATTAGCTACGGAAAACCAAAGGCACCCCATCTACTGCAAGGCTGCCACCTCTGAACTGGTTTCTGTTTGCATAGTTGTTTGGTGAGAAGAAATAAAGTGGCTGTCCCAGGCACAATTCGGAAAAGTGCAAATTGTCTCTAAGGCACAGAACTGAGATTCTCAGCCAAGTCAATAGCAAACCTAGCCTTCCCAAGCGAATATGCTAGAGAACGACTCCTATCTGGAACAGGAGCAGGCTCTCACCTCCCTTTAAAGCTCACCTTCACCCCACAGTCTCAACAACATGCCCATGTTCCTCAGTCCATAGCAGAAGCAATACTCATGAGTAATACCCAAACTGACACTGCTCTCAGGCCTGCTGAGTTGAGCACAAGGGATAAGGACTCTGAAAGGCCAGTCAGTCCTTCAAAAAAATTGAAGTTGCATTTACATGATGAAACAAGACTCACTGTTAGGGTTTCTAGCAAACCCCAAGTCCCCAGAACTTACAACTTTAATCCAGGGTTTCTGTTGGGCCCTTCCCTTATTTTAAGAAAAGGCTTCAGTGACTACATTAGTACCATTGTACTAGGCTTCCCAGAATTGAGAAAACAATGGGAACATCAATGGCGGTCCCATTGAACAGAGTTGCCCAGCGCCAGCCGCGGGCTTTCCCCCAGTATCAGCCTTTACACCACCAGTTTTAGGGAAATGGCTAAAGTCCCACTGTACAGGCACTTTCGAAATATTAAACAGGTTACCAAACATTAATCTTTTGGTTTGGAAGAAATAAAAATTAGTTAAGCTCGTTGTAGGGAGGTAGGATGTGAGCCTCATCGAAGCAGCTCCTGTGACCCACGACACTAAAGGAACAGCTATGGCCAGATGAACGGCAGAGCTAGACCCCGAAGTAGACGCTGGCCCAGACCTTCACGAAGTTTGCTAACTCTAGGACACTATTCCTCTCTTTGGGAAAGCCAACTAGCATCTGCGACAAGAACACAATGAATATGGGAATAAAAGGGAGCGCTCAGCCAAATTTCTTTTACTTGGCAGGTTCCACTGTTCTGTCAGGCTTCAGGGACTACCAGGGTTTGGTGCTGGCTTTGGGCCACTCAAGCAGGAAAGATGATACAGATTCACTGATATGGCTTCATGAACATCAAAAGGGGAAAAATACTGACTAGACATACAGAAAGGGAGTGGCTGGGGCTGCTGATGTCAAGACTGGGATCCTAAGAGTCGTGAAGGCAGAGGCACAGGAAGCACTCATGAGCAGAAGACTCAGTCTCGCTAGGCCTCTCAGAGGTAGCTAAAGGAAGACCTCCTCTCCCTCACAGTTTTCTCTTAAGGTCACCCCCACGCCCCACTGATCATTTCTCTCCAAGACACCTCACTCTGAGAGGCATCTTCCAAAGCGGGGAAATCCACTCGGCATCAGTCACAACCTGAACTCCAGATGTACGATGCGGAGGGACCTGCCCTTCTTTTTCTATTCCTCACTGAAGAAATTTCAATTAAGCCTCAGAGGAAAAGCAATCTAAGCCCACTTTTCCTCCTAAAGCATCGAGCTGCACGAAGTAACTGAACTTTCTGAAAACAAGCCCTAGAATGAATCGCCAGGCATATTTTCCTCAACTCAGGGCTTTGGAGAGGGCTCACAACACTTCACCTCTCTCCAGATAACCCTCTGGGCCGGGCTTGGGCTTGGTTCTAGCTTGCTTCAGTGTTACACGTTGTCCTCCTCCACCCAGAGGTGCAATGCCTGGTGCTGAACTCCCGAAGCAGCTACCAACTAATGGTGAAATGATAAATGGGATATAAGCTGCTACCAGCAAAATTAAGGTGAGCATTGTGTTTCCTCTTCAAAGGTGAGATCACCAGATGAGGTACTGAGCTGCTGTTGCTATGGCAGTCACTGAGGACAAAGCCAGGGCCATGGCCCTTCCATTTTCCAAAACAAAACCACTCTAGATCCTATCTAAAAGGCAATGCCACTCTCCAAGTGTCCAGGGAAAGTGCTTCAGAGCCTCCACCTTGCGCTTCTTGTCTGCAAGTGAACGAAGCCAGGAAAGCGCTCTCTGCATTCAGTAAGTGTGCTGTGAAGTTCTTGGGATCCCAGTTTCCTGGAGGCTATACAGGCTCAGGAGACTAGAGGCTGGGTCGACAGGAGTCTGTTCCCAGGAGGCACCAGGAATCTGAATCTAAATCAGGCTTTGGATCCATTTCCATCTCTTCCTTTGCTGTCTGTGTTCCTTTGGAATGCATCCCCACCTGTCCAGATAAAAAAGTTGCATATTACAGCACACAACTAGATGATTAATGCCAAGCTCTTAAGGATTTCTAGCCACAGTTTTATGAAAGCTCACAATACTACCTTAACTAAAGTCACGCCTTTACACTTGCTGACAGTGAAGGTGACCAGCTGTCCAGGTTTGCCCAGGACTGCAGGACTTTTCTGGGATGCATAACCCTCAGTTTAAAAACTGAGATAGCCTGAACCATCCTGATGGTACAAGTGGTTAAGTCTCAGCATTATGAAGCTATCCGCAGCCACTGCAGCATGAGTTCGATCCCCAGCCCAGGAGCTGACCCACATGGCACAGCAGACCTCTCCTGTCTCACCAGCTGCTCCCTTCAGCAGTGTATTTCAGTCAATCTGCCTATTCTGCTCCCCACTCTGTGTGAATCCTCTCACCTCTCCACACCTCTGGTCTGTACCCCAGGTCTCCTATGTGTAAATAAAAACATTTTTAAAACAACAACAAATAAGGCAGTCATAGGCAAAAAATGTTGCCTGCCAACAGCTGCCAGTCACCCTAGGCTTACAGCAAATGTGTATTACTTTCCTAAGTACTTTGATAGCCAGGTTTCCTTCAGTTCTCAAAACCACTGAGGTGAGTGGTGGTATTTTCTTCTAGGTGAGAAACCAAGACTCACAGAGCAAAAGTAATCTTTCCAAATGCATCGGGTGGACAAATGGCAAGGCCAAGG